TTTTTCACTCCAAATGCTTCAAGCTTTATCCCTACTACACGTATGCATCCAAACTTATTCATCTTGGTATATTTACTTGTAAAAAATGCAAACACTACAATATAGACATGAAATTCGAAATTCATCATTCATCATTCAAACATATTTAACCCCGCCGTCAAGAAAGGAATGAAGCCCAGCCTCCCTGTGGTGAGGTACAACACCAGCAGCCTGTCGGAGAAGTCTCGGTGACCTTTGGAGGCTTTTGCAGGAGGCAGAGAGAACAACTTCGCCAGACGAGTTAGAGGTGAGCTTGGAAGAAACCCCGGGTAGAACCTCCAATCACATTTTTTGAAAAAGATCTAAGAGGAATCCAATACTTACATGGTGATCCCTTAGTGGTCACTTTAACGATCACCAAGTACTCAGTGAAAAGGTCTTGATCGATAGCGGGAGTTCTACAGATATTATATTTGTCTTAGTCTTTGACAGAATAAACATTACTTCACAATGTAGATTCATAATAAAAGGTTTTCTAATCATGGTTGTCGCTTAGGTACGTAGCATAGGCATAATTATTTTAACATACATGTGCATGCTATTAAAAGTCGAACAAAGTGAGTGAAAAACAGTTATCAGTTATATTCATGTAACAGGTACATTATTAAATTGATAGCAAAGTAATCTCTTTGTTAAGATTTTATTGCATGAAACCCTAGTTTTAGTTCACCAAAAAATCAAATGGAAGACATAATCAAATGCTAATGAGTAGGTACATTAACAATATACCTATATGAGTACATTCAGGTACAATAAAATTCTTGTATTTTAGTGCAATGAAATTCTATTTTACATGAAAGAAGATTTTTTGTTCTTGGTTGTCGTTGATGTACGTAACATAGGCACAATAAACTTAAGCTACCAGTACATGCAAAATTTTTTTAACAAAATGAGGGATCAGCTATGTGCAGTTATATTTATGTAACAGGTACATTACAAAATACATAGTCAAAAAACCTAGAATGAATTGAGTTGTATTTGCATGAAATCCTAGTTTTTGATGAGGGAAAAACGAATGGAAGACTTAATTGAAATGTAAATAGTAGGTAAAATAACAATGTACCTGCACAATTGAATGATTTTTGGACATGGTACTTGTTCGATTGAATGAGACGTTAATTGTTTGAGTGTAGTGTTTGAAAATGCACAGAATACTTTTAGTGTTGAATGAGAAAAGATTGAAGAGTTTTTTGTTTTGGGATTTTTTCATTTTTGAATGTAAATGGATTAGGAAATACTAAGGGTGTTCAAAAATTAATAGCTACAAAAAGTGTTTACCCGANTCTGAGTGTAGTGTTTGAAAATGCACAGAATACCTTTAGTGTTGAATGAGAAAAGATTGAAGAGTTTTTTGTTTTGAGATTTTTTCATTTTTGAATGTAAATGGATTAGGAAATACTAAGGGTGTTCAAAAATNTATGCTGGTTAAATAATTCACAAATGCGTGAAAAATGATTAGTGTTCTTTGTTCGTGTGTGTGTGTGTGTTTTTTTTAATTGGAGTGCATTGACGAATTGGCTGAATGGAATGCCTTTTTTTTTTNTCGATCGGGTAGATTAGACCAAAATAAAATTCTTTCACAAAGTATCAGGTAAGGAGACGAAAGACTATATTTTCTACCCGTAGGGTAGGGTGAACACCTCTAAAAAATACAATTATTTATGCACATAATTTTTGAATTTCAAATATCTTTAAACATATTTTTTTTTGGTGAACTTATCGCTTGTATGCGAATAATACATGTACACAATCAAAGGCACATGCCTTCCACTTGATTACTTGGGTACACAAAATAAAAACTATCCAACGGTACTCGCACAATAAAAATTAAATATATATTTTATATAGAAAATAGTGATTACATATGTGAATNTTGATCGGATAGGAATATCATATTTGATCGGGTAGAGTAGGCCAAAATAAAATTCTTTCGCAAAGTATCAGGTAAGAAGACGAAAGACTATATTTTCTACCCGTAGGGTAAGGTGAACACCTCTAAAAAATACAATTATTTATGCACATAATTTTTGAATTTCAAATATCTTTAAACATGTGTTTTTTTTGGTGAACTTATCGCGCGTATGCGAATAATACATGTACACAATCAAAGGCACATGCCTTCCACTAGATTACTTGGGTACACAAAATAAAAAGTATCCAACGGTACTCACACAATAAAAATTAAATATATATTTTATATAGAAAATAGTGATTACATATGTGAATTTTTGTTTAATGATGATAGTATCATTATTTTTTGTAATATTTAAGGACTTTAGTTATACTCGTCTCTTTGACTTCTCCATAAAAACCTAACTCAAAAAAAAAAGATTGTCAATAAATATTTTTCTGAAATGCTATTGAGCCAATGACCGACTTCCAAAAAAACTCTTTAAAAAACCATCCCAACAGGGCCACAGTGGCATGAGAACATCAAACCGTAGAAACGAAAATTACATTGGGTCAGGTATGATGTATGAACGGTTAAAAAGGGTAAGGTCCGTAGCACAGAAAAAAAAAGCAGAGAGAGTGAGAGAGACAGAGGGGAAGACATACAAATTCCAATAACACCAATTTCCCTCGTAAATTATCTATCCAAGGTAAACTCGAAATTTCAAACCCCAGTTTCATCATTTTCTTTCCCTTTAAATGCTCTCTATTCAATTATGTTCGGTTGCCAGGAAAAACTTTGAGAAAACAGAGGAAATATAAAAGAAAAATCTTTGCCTATGCTTTCTCGGCAACCAAACAGATGGGTGTGTTTAAATTGTGCTGAAGAAGTAATTTTTTTTTGGTGGAGATTTCTTTGTTCAAGTTGATGTCTATGCTGGTTAAATAATTCACAAATGCGTGAAAAATGATTAGTGTTCTTTGTTCGTGTGTGTGTGTGTGTTTTTTTTAATTGGAGTGCATTGACGAATTGGCTGAATGGAATGCCTTTTTTTTTTTTTTGGATTTGGGAGTTAGTTAAAGTAACTTTATGTTTTAATTGTTTTCACTTTTTTTGGCATTTAATTTTGTATTTTGGCAAATGGAGTAAAAGTTTAATGAAGAAGAATTGTGATTTGACTATTGTATATGTATACGTTTTTTATTTTGATTTTTGGTTTATCTTAATTTAGGACTTTCTGTTGGAAGTACAGAAAGCAGATGCAGGAAAATACCCATACTTTATCAGTTAGATACCAAGAGTTCTGCTATGACATTTAATTTGAGCTTTTGCTGGTGATGCAGATTGAATTTCTTGACCCTTTGCTCACAATGATGCATGCAGTTTTTATTTATTATGTGAAAATATTTGAGCANAGTATTTAAGGACGTTAGTTGTACTCGTCTCTTTGACTTCTCCATAAAAACCTAACTCAAAAAAAAAGATTGTCAATAAATATTTTTCTGAAATGCTATTGAGCCAATGACCGACTTCCAAAAAAACTCTTTAAAAAACCATCCCAACAGGGCCACAGTGGCATGAGAACATCAAACCGTAGANAATATTTAAGGACTTTAGTTATACTCGTCTCTTTGACTTCTCCATAAAAACCTAACTCAAAAAAAAAAGATTGTCAATAAATATTTTTCTGAAATGCTATTGAGCCAATGACCGACTTCCAAAAAAACTCTTTAAAAAACCATCCCAACAGGGCCACAGTGGCATGAGAACATCAAACCGTAGAAACGAAAATTACATTGGGTCAGGTATGATGTATGAACGGTTAAAAAGGGTAAGGTCCGTAGCACAGAAAAAAAAAGCAGAGAGAGTGAGAGAGACAGAGGGGAAGACATACAAATTCCAATAACACCAATTTCCCTCGTAAATTATCTATCCAAGGTAAACTCGAAATTTCAAACCCCAGTTTCATCATTTTCTTTCCCTTTAAATGCTCTCTATTCAATTATGTTCGGTTGCCAGGAAAAACTTTGAGAAAACAGAGGAAATATAAAAGAAAAATCTTTGCCTATGCTTTCTCGGCAACCAAACAGATGGGTGTGTTTAAATTGTGCTGAAGAAGTAATTTTTTTTTGGTGGAGATTTCTTTGTTCAAGTTGATGTCTGTGCTGGTTAAATAATTCACAAATGCGTGAAAAATGATTAGTGTTCTTTGTTCGTGTGTGTGTGTTTTTTTTTTTTTTAATTGGAGTGCATTGACGAATTGGCTGAATGGAATGCCTTTTTTTTTTTTTTTTGGATTTGGGAGTTAGTTGAAGTAACTTTATGTTTTAATTGTTTGCACTTTTTTGGCATTTAATTTTGTATTTTGGCAAATGGAGTAAAAGTTTAATGAAGAAGAATTGTGATTTGACTATTGTATATGTATACGTTTTTTATTTTGATTTTTGGTTTATCTTAATTTAGGACTTTCTGTTGGAAGTACAGAAAGCAGATGCGGGAAAATACCCATACTTTATCAGTTAGATACCAAGAGTTCTACTATGACATTTAATTTGAGCTTTTGCTGGTGATGCAGATTGAATTTCTTGATCCTTTGCTCACAATGATGCATGCAGTTTTTATTTATTATGTGAAAATATTTGAGCATGCAAAGGTTGAGATTGAATGTGAAAGAAATTCTCTCTCTCTCTGTCTCTCATGTCCCTTCTGACCTAATCCTGCACTTCTTAGTTGCATCAGAATCCATTTCAATTTCAACCTTGGAATTTTAGAATCGACCTCAGATGTTTTGCATCAAATGGTTCTAATGCAGGTGAAAGAATATATTGCTCTAATCACCCTCCTCATTTGAGAATTGCTACAATCTTGTTGTCTATGCTTCCTTTGTGCACTCTGAAGAAGCTCAAATCTAGCTTGAACAGCATTTCACTTCCACAATCCCTTTCTAATCTTTCTTATTTTACCTATCCTTCCCTCCCTTCCTCCATCAAGTAGAGATGTTAAACATAATTCCTCCTCCACAACCCATATTGAGAACTATAGTTATTCATTTTATTCTCCTTGTAATTCTATGGAGAACAAGGGTGGGAAATGCTTTCCTTTTAAATCTGACATTGAAGACCTGATGTTGGCAACAAAAATGCTGGTAGGGGATATTTTATGGCTAGAAAGGGTGGAAATATCTTGGCTTTTAGAGTTTAGTAATTTGTAAGAATGGCTAGTGGTTATCTTCCGAAAACAAAAAAATGGCCAGTGGTTTTGGTTTTGAAATGTGGCAAAAATGGGGGCTTTTTGGGAATTATGAACAGTACATAAACTGGTTTTTGGCATTTTATGGTTGCTTGGATCGAGGTTTGTGAAAAGGAAACACATTTTATGTTTTTTGAAAGATATGATTGTGAGTTTACAGTGTGAAGAATATGAAGAGATAAAACAAGAGGAGAAGAGAAGAAATCATGCTTCTCCCTCACAGAGATCAGGCAGGGGCACACAAACACGACTCAAGTTACTCTATTTGATAGAAAAACATTTTTCTAATTGTTCTTGACTAAAACTTTGGAAACTTGGACTCTTTTATGACTTGGACTAGTGTAGACTAATCTAAAGTCCGAATAAAACTCAAGTATGACAGAAGCCTAGTACTCGAGGCTCATAACTTTGCGGGTTTGGAAAGGAATAGATGTACGTAGCCTTACTCCCACATATGGAAAGTTTGTTTCCGCAAAATTAAATATCCGTATCTACAAAATTCTAATAGAGCATGGATTAAGTTACAACAACTGCTCATTATTTTAAAACTTTTCCGCATCAAATCGTTTTCCTTGTACCCTTATTTCTGGAGCAGATTCATTTAGACATGGCATGCTTCGGATTCTTCTAGAGGGCCTACCTAATTTGGACCATTGTGAATGCCTTTTGGTACTCCTGCATGCTTATTTGAGCAATTATGGGACTTCAAAAGTAGTTATTTTTAATTTCACTAGCATACTGGTGTTATACTGTTCTGGATTGTCTTATTTCTGCTGTCAGGTCTGAGTTTGGAGATTTTGTTCGTAGCAGTATCATGACTTCATCTGTTCCTGACCTTTCTGGTATTTTTCCTATCACAATATTTGATCAGAATCAAGTTAACCTCTTTTGTGCTACCTTCTCTGTTTTGAGTCTTGTTCATAGTAAAACATTGTGTTTCTGGCATTAAATTCTGCGATGATGGCTGTGTGATGAAGCCATCATTTGGAATACTGTTCATGATGTTAAAAGCTGTGATTAGGAGTTGCTATAATTTCTATGACTTTGGTTCCATTTTTTGTGGCCCTAACACTCATGTAAAATCCGAGTTGAATGTCTTACATTTGAGTTGTTGTAGAATCAAAATAATTTTCACCACTACATAACATAGTGTTGCTGATCAAAACTTCCAATAGTGATATAATGGTTGATGTATCTGTGGTTTGTATGTGGTAGCATGGACACCCCCAAAAACTGACCTCTTATAACTATAGACTCATGTCTCGTAGTAGTAGTCTCCTGGAAAAAAAGGGTTGTCACATTCACTTGTTTCCATAGCGTGTTTCACAATGAGGAAATAATAATGCAATGAAGTAATTGTGTTTATTTGTTAACCGAAATATAAATGAACATTTCATCTTGAGATCATAGTATAATTGGGTATGTCAACATTCATTGTACTTCAATTTGTAGCATTAGGCAAATTTGGCTTCCAGAACATACAAGGGGGCTTAATTTGATTTGGTGATGGATTTCAAGCCTTTTCTTTGTTGAACATTGGAGCATACATGATATTAGGTGAGACAAACCAAAAGAGCGTTTTCCTCGACTGCTGTATTCATGTAACAAGCTTTACTTTCTTTAGAAGTCCACTTAACCGCTTGATACTCCAAAGGTCAGATGATCAGAAGCTTATGTATTTTTGCTTTTCTTACGCAAACAAATACAATGTTCTGCAAGAAGAAACTCAATTCCATTGATAATTGGGAATTTTATGAGAAAGTCTAAGCAAATTTTATATGCCTTTTGGGTTGTCATACAAAACAATTTAGGGAAGTTTGGAATTATAATCCATAGTTTACTTTATATTTATTTCTTATTATTAGTATTATTATAATAATTTTCACCCCGTGTATCATGCGGAAATTGTTGCGGCATGCGTCTGGTTAATAGTAGCCAGAAGTAAGGATACCCTAGCGTAGAGTGGGTGCAAGTCTGCAAGAGCAAGATCACTTGTGTGACAATATTTACAAAGGAATATAGTCCAGAGAGGTCTTAGACTGAACATATGGATCTACATAAACATTTATCTAGATATTATTTTACTATGAGTAAAATTATATACAAAGTACAATCCATAAAACAGATGTCAATTTAGGCTGGTAGATTGGGGTTGCATTCACAAAATCAGTGGTGAACTATCCTCACCATTATATTTACATGTTTCAAAAAAAAAAGGTGCTGCTAACCTGTTTTCAAGTGGTACCCAAGTAAACCCAAAAGGGTAGCTCAAGTGGTAACTGGAACTAGTTGTAAAATCAGACGTCCTGAGTTCGAATCTTGGCAACCCATTGGGCCTAGGTCATGAGGGATTTATCCCTCCTGAATCCTCTAGTCCCGGCATGGTTGGCCTGCCTTTGACTGGATTGGAGAGGAAACTAGTCGAGGTGTGTGCAAGCTGGCCCTCTGACTGTTGAAAAAAAAAATGTTACCCTGATATAAAATGGGACTGCTAGATAAAATATCCAAAAAAGATGAATTGCAATGTCAACCATGGTCAGTTTTTGTTGGCCTGGTCAAAGATGCTGCTTTGATCAGNTGACTGGATTGGAGAGGAAACTAGTCGAGGTGTGTGCAAGCTGGCCCAGACACCTCTGACTGTTGGAAAAAAAAATGTTACCCTGATATAAAATGGGACTGCTAGATAAAATATCCAAAAAAGATGAATTACAATGTCAACCATGGTCAGTTTTTGTTGGCCTGGTCAAAGATGCTGCTTTGATCAGCCAAAGCTGCAAACTATTGTAGAATTTGCATTGTATGGACAGATCCAAATGCTAGAGAGGAGCTCGTGACTCTACCTCACGAATCAGGTATTTGAGCTCCAAAGAATTAGATCCAAAATTTTGAAAAATCTAAGAAAACACTCAAAATCTCTTNACAGATCCAAATGCTAGAGAGGAGCTCGTGACTCTACCTCACGAATCAGGTATTTGAGTTCCAAAGAATTAGATCCAAAATTTTGAAAAATCTAAGAAAACACTCAAAATCTCTTTGTTTTGCTTTCATTTGCCTCCACAAGCTAGGAAGCATGGACTATTACAGCTCCTCTAGCATTTGGATTCTTACAGAAAACACTTGTATTTATCAATTGAGTAATATTTGAAACTTTAGATAATGAATTCATGTTGCAATTGATTATGATTTGTGAATTTTTCATTTACCTTTATGTTGTGTGTGTGTTAGTGTGTCCTCAGTCTCCATGTTCTAATGTTCTGCAAAATTTCTGTCAATGTATGTCGTGTCATACTAATCTCATGTGTCTGTTTCTATACTTCGTCCGAACATAAACTTTTCTTTTTGTCGCTTAATATGCTTGCCAGTTAATTATGTCTAGGTCCCCGGGGGTTTAACATTTTTCAGTTAAGAAATTATCGTGTACTTGCTGGAAGAAGATGAATTAGTAAATTGGAAATACAAACCCGAACCTCAAAGCTTTGACAAGAAAAAAATCAAAATTATAGGTTGTGATAAGGGATAAACTTTACTTTTTAAAGAAGTTAGAAGTCACTTTCCAAAAAGAAGAATAAGAAGCAATTTGGTTCTGAAGTTTTACATGGTATGCAAGACAACAACCTTGTCATTTCGGGATACTCAAGTTCTAAGGTATGCGGTAGAAAAGAACCTTACCATTTCCCTAGAAAATCTTCCAATAAGTGGAACCTACTAGGATCTTTATTACTTTAATCTCCTTTGATGGAACCAAATTTTCTAGACTTTTTGCTTTGCGTTGGGGTACAGTAAAGTGGGGATTTTAACTATGCCTTTCCTGAATGCCTGTATGTACTGAATGCACTTAACTGCTGTGCAGTGGGTAGGCTGTTTTGCATAGTTGTTGAGATTTGGATTAAGATGGATTTAGGCCTACCTATTGCTGCCTCTCTTGAGAAAAACCGGTGGTAATGTACTCTTACTAAATATATGGTTATATTTTGTTATGCTAAAAAATGTACAAATATTGACAATTTAGATGAATTTAGTGTTGGATGACATTCCCTAAATGGTTTATTTTGTATAGAATTTTCAATTGAAAAATGTTTGTAGTTTCTCTCTTGATTTCAAATCAATATGTCTACACTTCAGTCCATCTTGTTTCTGGTAACCAATGAAGTTAAATATTTAGTAGCATCATGATGGTAAGTATCGATCACTTTTCTTTGCATCTTAGGGTGCTATTTTATTGTTGTGGACAATTTGTAAACTATTTCAAGACCTGAATAGACCATATTTGATCAATAAAGTGGACTCAAAAAGGCACTAATGCCTTTTGGTTAATCAGATTTTACTTCTAAAGCGATTGCTTTAGGTTGTTTCCTTCTGTGAATTGTGCAAGATATTTGGTTCTTGTCCAGGGGCCAATTTAAAATTTTCATTTTATGGGTCTAGCCTGGGTTAACCCTCTTATTTTTGTAATCCTGTGAGACCCAGATCTGCATTGGCTTTGATGTGGATAGACTATTCTTGGATTTAATTTTGACTTCGTTGGTTGCTCCTCATGGATATCGTTTAATACACAAGGAATATCACCCCTAACTATCTTCTTAATGTATTTTTGTTTTTAAATTTTCATTTTCCTCTGTATGTGGTGGAGTGGGGAATAGGGAGTGAGGCATTGGCTTGGTTCTTTGTGTTGAAGCCATAGTTTGAAAATTAGCTGCAGACATATTCTGAAAGTTTAGTTTCTTGCTTTTGACTTGTTTGTCTTTTGAGTGAATTAAACATTTTGGCTTATCAAACATGTGGTTGATTTTTTATTTTTTTATCTGAAAATCTTTTATTACTTTAAATTTAAGACCATATTTCTTGTTTTTTATAATATAAAATGGTTTTCCAGATATTGGTGAGGCAGATGAGCAACAAAAGCTCTCAAAAACTCAAGTCCAATCTTCATCCCCGGCTATTGGGATGTCACATCCAATCATTACCACATCAAATATGCAATGCGCAACACCGCAACTTGGAGTTGGAAATCCTATGGTATTAAATTCAAGTGACTTTTTAATCTATTCAGTGTGACTACATATGTATGCTGCTAAAGATGAGAAACTAGGTCCTGGTCTTATATGTGCTTCATCTTCTTGAAGTTAGCTTGTTCTCAGCTGTAAAAAAAGCAACACAGTTTCTTCAGAGAGGAAGAAGAGCATAATAATCATTTTATGGAGGAGAAAGTTGTGATGATGACGTCATGACAATAATGATCCCATGTAATGCAGGACCTCTTCGCTTTAGCGTTGTATCGGGGTTTTTCTTTTCAACGATTGATCGTAGTTTTTAGGGTTTTGGTTGAGGAAGATTCGGGGATAGAATACAGGGTGGTGGCAGTGAACAATACCTGGTGAACAGTAAGGTCTGGTTTTATGCTTTCAAAAGAGGCTAGGGTTGAAGTATTGTCATAGTAGAGGATGTGTAAGACTGAAACAATGCTTAATTAGGTTTTTTTTACAGACAATTAGTAACAAAAACAGAGGAAAAGAGAATAGTAGCGAGTCATTCCTATTAATCCTTAGACATTACATAAGGTTAATATTCCCCCTCACAAACCTAGGGGTTGCAAATTTTAACACTACACAACAACACGAACACGATACGAAATTAATAGATTTGGGTTGACTATTTTTTAACACAAACCCGTATATGACATGACCTGCCAATACAAGATAACACGAACACGATACAAAATTAATAGGTCTGGGTTGACTATTTTTTAACATAAACTTGTATATGACACGACCTTACCAGCACAAATTTTTAATAGGTTGTGTTTGGGTTCAACCCCGTATAACTCGAAATTGACCCGTATAACTAATCGGGTCGATATGAACCCGATTAACCTATTTTAGACCCAAAATTGACCCGACACTATATAAATGAAAGCCCTTGGATCCCTAACCCTAATCCCATTGCTCTTTTCATTTCACATTTCATATTTACGCCTCCCTTCCTGGTGAGTCGTGACGCACGCACATTGACTCCCCTTTGTAGGTCATCACTCACCACTGCAGGTATCCACCAACCAAGTTAGCTCTCTCTCTTCTTATATAAGCCAGTTTTTAAAATGATAATGTGAAACTCTACCATCTCAGATCTAAGCCAACCATCTCACATCTAGACTCTACCATTTCAGATCTAACGTAACCATCTCAGATTTAGACCCAACCATCTTAGATCTAATTCTATCATCTCAAATCTAGACATTTGGTGTGGCTCTGGTGCTTTTAATCTAGGGTTTTTTGGTTTGGACGATCTCTTAAATTGTAAGCTTACTTTTTGTTCTTATACATTTTATAGTAAGCCTCATGTTCTGGAGTATTTTTCTACTTTTGTCAATAGAGTTTGGATTTTAGTTAGCCTCAGTTGCTGGGTTTCTACTGTTGTTCTGGTGCTCTTAATCTGGATTTTTCTACCGTTGTTAATGACAAAAATTAGCAATTGTAATTTGTAACAAACAAACTTGACATAAAGCAAAAGTATATGGAAAAGGAACAAAGATTCCAAGTCTTTACTTTTGGATGCAATAACCGATGACCAAAGGAAATAAAATGAAGTTACCCCAAACTTTGGTTAAGTTTGGGGTAACTTAAACAAGGGAACTTCATTTTGTGATTTTTGGGTATAATTCATGTTATACAAGGTCAAAATTATTATTTTTTTTGTTGGTATAGTTAAATTGATGAATTGTTAAACATGCTAATAATTGGGTTGTCTTAGGCAGGTTGGGTCGTGTTTATCTGGACACAAGCTGTGTAAACCTCGTGTCACAGGTCGTGTCGGGTTAGTCGTGTTCATGTTCAGATGACTTGACCTGTTTAACTCATAAGTTGTGTTTGGGTTGAGGAGTCTTGAATTAGAACCCAACATGACACGACACGATTGTCACTCCAACACAAACCCCAAAGATGCTCTTCTCTTAACTAATCATNTAAACCTCGTGTCACAGGTCGTGTCGGGTTAGTCGTGTTCATGTTCAAATGACTTGACCTGTTTAACTCATAAGTTGTGTTTGGGTTGAGGAGTCTTGAATTAGAACCCGACATGACATGACACGATTGTCACTCCAACACAAACCCCAAAGATGCTCTTCTCTTAACTAATCATTATTAATTTTAAGGGTAAGCATGGATATCTAGGCTTCATGAGATCTCATATACACGCTATAACTAGGAAATACGGATTTACTAACTCAAGTATTTGAATCTAATAACTTGGCATACCTAACAAACATGGCTGAAAATACAAATAGTAAACTAAGGGCCATGGGCTACTGCTAATGCCTATGTCTAGGGAGATATAAGATGACAGAATTGTCTTGTACCCACAAAACATAATAAACTGATCTAGGAGTGTACACTGAAACAGTGTTGTGAAAAGTTCGCCTGGGCGAGAAGCGAAGCAAGGCGAGGGTGGCTCGCTTTGAATAACCCAGGCGAAACAAAAATGACTAAAGTGATGGAAAAGCGAGAAAAGCGAGTGCCTGTCGTTTAAGCGAAAAGCGAGAAAAACGACGTCTTAGTTAAGATTTTTAAGTTATTTTATTTTTTTATTATAAACCGTTGAATTGTTTGATTTTTATTATGAATCATTGGATTGAGGCAATTAGAACAAAATTGTGAGATGCCCATACACCTAATTGCCCCCTTATCCCAATATATTCAACACTTAAACTCTAATTTTGCCTAAAGGTCAGAGGATTGCTGTTGCTGCTACTACTGCTCCTTCCTCGCTGCTCCCACAGGTTTGCCCCTCTCTTATATTTCCTTTCTTCTTCTCTCTTTTGTTTCCCCTCTTCTTCTTCTTTTTCTCCATTTCTCCTTTTCTTCTATATTTCTCTTCTTTTAATTCTTTTTCTTCTTCTTCGACATAAAGCTTTGCATCCGTTGCTTCCGTCTTCTTCTTCGACAAAAAACACCACACAGATACCTACTTTTTCTCTACTTCTCTCCTCCTCCTCTTCTTCTTCTTTTGCTTTTTTAATTCTTCTTTTTCTTCTTCTTTGATAAAAAATACTGGTACTTTGCTGCATCTCCTACTTATATTGCTGCTTCTGTCTTCTTTTTCGACAACAGAGGTATGTTCTCTTCTCTCCTCTCCTCTTCTCTTCTTCTGGTTCTATTTCTTTGTTTCTACTTCTGTTTCTTCTCTTCTTCTTCTTCTACTTCTGGTTCTGCTTCTCTGCTTCTGCTTCTTGCTTCTCTTTTTCTGCTTCTGTTTTTGCTACTGGTTTTGGTTCTGTTTTTGCTTCTTTGCTTCTAGTTCTGCTTCTCTGATGTTGATTTTTCTTAATGCTGATTTTGTTGATTTTACTTTTTTTTCTTCCTCTAATTTGATGCTGATTTTCTCTGTTTAATGTTGATTTTGCTGATTCTGTTGATCTCTACTTCTACTGATTTTTTGTAATGCTTAATGCTAATTTTTTGTATTACTTTTGCTTATTCTTTGTACTACTTATTTTTGCTGATTCTGTATTGCTTATTTATGCTAATTTGATTTTCTGTAATATTGATTTTGATGATAGTAATACTGATTTTCTGAATTTAAATGTTTAAGTTGTGGCTGTCATTAAGACTTGAGATATCATTAGTGTTTGTTTAAATTTAAATGTATATGATTTTACTTGCATTTAAATAATTAATATTAATATTTGTAAAATTAGAACTTAGATATTTAGAAGTAATTATACTAAAATATTTATTTATTTATTTTTTAACTGTTTGCTTCGTTTTCTTGAAGTGTTTTGCTTCGTTTCTCGCTTCTTGCCTAGGCTTTAGGAGCCTTGGTCGCTTCGGTTCGCTTTACGCCAATAACAACACTGCACTGAAAGCAAACATATNATTGATTTTGATGATAGTAATACTGATTTTCTGAATTTAAATGTTTAAGTTGTAGCTGTCATTAAGACTTGAGATATCATTAGTGTTTGTTTAAATTTAAATGTATATGATTTTACTTGCATTTAAATATTTAATATTAATATTTGTAAAATTAGAACTTAGATATTTAGAAGTAATTATACTAAAATATTTATTTATTTATTTTTTAACTGTTTGCTTCGTTTTCTTGAAGTGTTTTGCTTCGTTTCTCGCTTCTTGCCTAGGCTTTAGGAGCCTTGGTCGCTTCGGTTCGCTTTACGCCAATAACAACACTGCACTGAAAGCAAACATATTACTTCGTTATACTTGAAAATTAATTATTCAAGGTTGCAAGTTTGGGCTTGTTTCATCCGGCTCTTCCAAGTCAAGACTTGAGCTTAGAATCATTTTTGCCATGGGTTTTATAAAGCTTTTGAATGCTACTACTTATTTCCATGACCAAGGAAATTTTTATTGTGGGTTGGGATCTCTGAGGGTGAGCACAATGAATCAGTCCAGGTTAGACAAGCAATGGGACTTGTTTTTGTAAATGGTGCCTTTCTATATTTACTTGTGATCATATTTTTCACTAAGCAAAGACAGGAAGATGCCTTTTAGAGGGTGCAAAGAATGTATTGTGTTAGCCTGACCTCCCCCTTAAATTGCATCAGACCTCGTTTTAGTCCTACACAGGTAGCAAGAGAACCAACTTTTTACCACATTGTCAATGCCCAAGATACACTTAGAACTAGTTCTGGTTTTGCAAACAATCACAGTCTTGTTCATCTTGATGACAACTAAAGTCACAATGGCGACGATCAAAATCTTCTTCAGGGGAAAGATGGGAAGAGTATGCCCTTTTTTGTAGACTTTGTGATGTGCTAGAGGTAATCTTCTCATCAATGTTAGTTGTTTCGTTAAATCTGAACTTTCTTCTATCCGATTTGGGACTTTGTGATCTTCCGAGCATGAGTCTTGATTCAAGTGCCTTTTTCATCAATCTAATAACTACTTTAAAGACATTATCTCACATACTTATTGCAAACGTACCTTCATATCGGTTTATGCATGCAACATGTTCCTTCATTAGTGTCATGCTAGGTAGTATGCTATGATGGGTATTTTTATAGGAAGAATACTTCAGGATATCTGTTTCTAGAGTCTAGGCTACAAATATATGGTCCTCTTGTAAGCGGTAGCAAGAATGAGAATGCCAGAAATTGAAAATCTCAGTTATATTAACTACAATTAATATAGGAAATTTTGATGATTACTTGTTTTCCCCTAGTGTAAAGCATTTTATTTCTCAGGTACCTGCAGGTTACGCATATCCAGATCCTTACTATAGAAGTATATTTGCTCCCTATGATGCAGAGTCTTATCTCGCACAGCCTTATGCTACACAGCCAATGGTACTTTTTCCATTCACATGAATGTTCTATTTGGTCTTAATAAGTATGGTAGTCTGCATTGATATTTATGGAATTTGCTTGTAAACCAGAATATTGTGGTTATACAGTGAGCCCTTTTTTTTAGGTCCACCTTCAGTTGATGGGAATTCAGCAAGCTGGTGTTCCCTTGCCATCAGCTACAGTTGAGGAGCCTGTGTTTGTCAATGCAAAACAGTATCATGGTATCTTGCGACGTCGGCAATCTCGTGCAAAAGCTGAATCAGAAAATAAGGTTGTTAAGTCAAGGAAGGTAAGCTAGGGGCATTGCATCTGAAAATTCTTAAATACCTGTTGAATTCGTGCAAATTCCATTAATGTTCAGGCAACCTCTTTAAGAAGAAATGGGTTTACACATCTCAATCCCTCGGCATGAAACTGCTGTTTCTGTTTGATTTATTGGCTTNGCGCAAATTCCATTAATGTTCAGGCAACCTCTTTAAGAAGAAATGGGCTTACACATCTCAATCCCTCGGCATGAAACTGCTGTTTCTGTTTGATTTATTGGCTTTTGTAGCTCCTTGGAGACCTTTTGTGATCACTAATTAAGATTGATTTGAGGGTTGCTTCACTTCTTATCCTTACTGCNTTTTGTAGCTCCTTGGAGACCTTTCGTGATCACTAATTAAGATTGATTTCAGGGTTGCTTCACTTCTTATCCTTACTGCACTAATCTTGAATTCTTAATCCAAGCATACCATAGGAACTGTTTTACGGTGTGATTAATTAGATGAGCCATATTTAACTTCTGAAAAGCAGTTTAAATACAAGTGAGGGAGGAAATATTTCTACCATGGAAGTGTACAAACTACACGCCGCAGTAGAGGATGGCTCTGTCAAGATATAAATGGCTCTTTTTAAGTTGATGTTTGTTCAACACCAAGTATTTTGATTCTTAACAGTTTAAACTAATCTTGCAGCCATACTTGCATGAATCTCGACATTTGCATGCACTGAAAAGAGCTAGAGGATGTGGTGGTCGTTTTCTTCATTCAAAGAAAAGTGAGAACCAGCAGAAAGAGGTGACATCTGGTGATGAGTCATCAGCCAATTTCAATCTTAACTCTGAAAAAATTGATTTGGCTCCTTCAGAAAGTGCCTCCTGATGTTTTGGACACAATGCTCCTGAAGACGGTCAACCTTGAAACAATAACCAGGAAACCTATGCTCCTTAAACAGTCTTGATGGTCTTGGTATCTTTGGTTTACAGGTCAATGAGGCTCCATACTTTTAGCTGCGTAGTATGTGCATATTGAGCAATAGGCTTATGGTAAGGTCGCAAAGATAGTAGCAGGTATTTGTTGATGTGCAATAGTTATATTGTTTGATTATGGTCTGTGAGCTTAACAGAAAGACTAGGTTGGTTGATGCATGTAGTCATTATATTTTGTTGTTGTCAATAGACTAAGTTTAATGGTTCAACCGGATGTTTTTTGAACTTGAGTTGGTTGATTTGGTANGTGAGCTTAACAGAAAGACTAGGTTGGTTGATGCATGTAGTCATTATATTTTGTTGTTGTCAATATACTAAGTTTAATGGTTCAACCGGATGTTTTTTGAACTTGAGTTGGTTGATTTGGTATGTTATCGTAAAACCGTAACATTTTTCCAATTAAGGATTTTTCCATCTTTTTTGTGGGGTTTTGGTGGTTGGGCTTGGCAAGGTGATCCTCCNTATGTTATCGTAAAACCGTAACATTTTTCCAATTAAGGATTTTTCCATCTTTTTTGTGGGGTTTTGGTGGTTGGGCTTGGCAAGGTGATCCTCCTCCCAATATAGCCTAGCCCGAGAGACGAGTTCTCTTGGACTGAAGTAGTCTCACAAGCCGTTCCCCGGATGGTGCTGGTCCTTTTCTAACTTGAAGAGCAGCAAACCCGACTTCCCATACAGACATGTTGGTGGTACAATAGTTCTGTTGTTGAAGTTCTAGCAGAACTGGTCTTCATTGCAGTTTTTCTATTTCTTTCATGAAAATTTATCATTTGGTAACGCTTTTTAAAGAAATTTTTAGAGTAAAAAGGTGATTTTGTTAACAAAAAAAGTGAAAGCATCTTAATTACTACTTTATAAAAGTGATTTAAATGCTTTTTAATCCATGAATTATTTTTATATATGTGTATTGTCTGGTATTATATATGTGATTATGGTTGGAAGTGTTAACATTGATCATTGATCAAAAGGAAGAAAAGAGAAAGAAGTGAAGAATATTATTAAGGCTAATCCAATATGTCATACATCCTTAACTAAAGATATACAATGTAGGCTCTTATATATTAGGGTATTAAAATAATATAAAATGCCTAAATTACTCATAATATAAATACTCTAACATCCCCCTTCAAACTCATGATGTGGTAGTATCAAACATCAAAAGTTTGTCGAAAAGGAAACANCAGAACTGGTCTTCATTGCAGTTTTTCTATTTCTTTCATGAAAATTTATCATTTGGTAACGCTTTTTAAAGAAATTTTTAGAGTAAAAAGGTGATTTTGTTAACAAAAAAAGTGAAAGCATCTTAATTACTACTTTATAAAAGTGATTTAAATGCTTTTTAATCCATGAATTATTTTTATATATGTGTATTGTCTGGTATTATATATGTGATTATGGTTGGAAGTGTTAACATTGATCATTGATCAAAAGGAAGAAAAGAGAAAGAAGTGAAGAATATTATTAAGGCTAATCCAATATGTCATACATCCTTAACTAAAGATATACAATGTAGGCTCTTATATATTAGGGTATTAAAATAATATAAAATGCCTAAATTACTCATAATATAAATACTCTAACATCCCCCTTCAAACTCATGATGTGGTAGTATCAAACATCAAAAGTTTGTCGAAAAGGAAACAAAAGCGCACGATGTTGTGAGATTTCGTAAAGAAATCTGTCAACTGTATAGCAGAAGGAAGAAAGGGGAGAGATATCGTGCCCAACTGAAGATGGTGGTGCACAAAGTGACAATCAATCTCAATATATTTTATGCGCTCATGAAACACTGAGTTATGGGTAATCTGAATGACACTGGTGTTATCAAAATACATAGGAGTAGGAACAGATAAGGAAATGCCAAGATCAACAAGTAGCAAACGTAACCAAACAATCTCTGATGTTGTGGAGGCCATAGCACGATACTTAGCTTTAGAAGAGGATCGAGTTACAACAGTTTGTTTTTTACTTTTCCACAAAATAAGAGAATCACCAAGAAAGAGACATAAACCAGTTGTGGACTTGCGATTCATAGGGTCACCAGTCAAGTCTGCACCAGAGTAAGCACGAAACTCCAGAGACAATGAGGAAGAAAATAATAAACTCTGATGCAATGTATCCCGCAGATATCGGAGAATTCGAAGAACGGCAGACCAATTAAGTGTAGTAAGAGCAGCAACAAATTGACTAATCACATGCACCGTATAAGCAATATTTGGACGAGTAACAGTAAGATATACCAAACTCTCAATAATAGTACAATGTAAGGTAGGATCAGACAAAAGAGAACCATTAGAGGAAGTAAAACGAACATTGAGTTCCAAGGGTGTGTCAACCGTTCGAGTATCCGTTAAGCAAGCTCGCTGAATAACATCTGAAGCATATTTTGGCTGAGAAAGAAGATAACCCTTGGGAGAAGAAATAACCTCAATCCCTAAGAAATAACGAAGTGAACCCAAATCTTTCATCTCAAAATAATCCTATAACTGAGTTTTCAACAGCTGAATTCCAGTATTGTCATCACATGTAGTAATCATGTCATTCACATAAAATAATGAAACCAGAAGAAGTGGATCAAAGGAAGAGAGCAGAATTATGATCACTAGCACAAAAGCGTAAGTTACATATGACTGAAGAAAATTTTGTAAACCATGCCCTTGTCACCTGTTTAAGACTATATAAAGCCTTGTGAAGTCTGCACACATGACCAAGACTACAAAGCAACCCATGATGAGGAGTCATATAAACCTCTTTAGATAAATCAGTATGAAGAAAAATATTTTTCACATCCATCTGAAAGAAACTCTACTAACGAACAACTCTCACAGCAATTACTGTGCGAATCGTGGTTATCTTAGCCACTGGAGCAAAGGTCTCATCGTAGTCAAGCCCATACTCTTGAGCAAATTCCTTGGCCACTAATCTAGCCTTGTATCTTTCCACAAAACCAAAGTGTAAGTTGAGAAGGCACAATAGTTCCAACACCAGCCAAAAACATTTGGATGCCATTGGCTGCAAGGACAAATATAGAAGGAGGAGAAACAAATAAGGAAGAATTTCTAGTCATATGATGGGTGGCTCCTGATTCAAAGACCCGGGTAGTTCGAGATTTACCTGATGGACCTATAGTGAATGAACCTGTGGAGGGAGAAACTGATATGGCACCTGGTTGATGAAGGGACAGAAGCTTCGACAACTGATCAACTATCATTCAGCAAGTGCTAACCAATTCCAAAATTTAGTTATAACCGAGTAGAACTCCTGTATGGTCTTATCTCCCTGGTGTGCAACTCGAATTTGATGCTCAAGCTGATATCTCTTTGCAAAATTGAATTAAACAAACAATGTAGCTAAATAGTCCCAAATCTCCTTGGCTATGTTAAATTTAGCCAAATGTACACCAATGGTCTGATCAACTGAGTTGTATACTAATTCTCTGCCTTCGGATCTGTTGGAGCTTGTAAAGCAGTAACATAACTCCACATTTCTTTCCCCAACAAAAAACTCTTCATAACATATGACCAATATACATAATTTTCACTATTTAATCTGACACCAATAACTTGAAGAGAATCAGAATATCCACTTGTTATAATGGTAACAAAAAAGGTCCATGCTCACAATAAAATAATACTCAAAATAAAACAGAAAACAACAATAATCCAGCCAATCAAGAAACAACCAGATAATAGCAGTCCAGCCCAAAATTCTCTGTCAACCCAAACTTGCAAACCCAATACAATAGCAGCCGGTGAATTGTGAAGGGAAAAACAATCCAACCGACACACAAATCCAACAAAAAGACGCCACAAAATAGAAGAAGAATGCACTAGCAAAACCACGAAACAGAAGAAAAATGCACCAGCAGAAGCTAAGAACAAAAATCAGTCCAAAGTAGCGACTGTTCTTACTGTGAACAGTAATTCGGCAATCCAAAATAGCCAAAATCTAACCAAAACTCAACCAAAAGCCTTCCAATCACACAACTAGCTAGCTTACTCTCTTAATCGCACCCTTTAGACCCGATTGGAAGCAAAAAAGTCAAGAAAAATAACCCCAAATTACAGATAAAAAAATAGAGCCGAAATTTTTGAAAAACATTCAGAAATTGAAAAACCCTATCCGACAGCCTCAAAATCAAAAAACGAAACATACCATTGAAGAGCCCATGAAGAATTGAGTATGATAGTGCTCTTCCCGACTCCAGATTGATGACGTCAGCTCTAACTTGATGACATCAGCCCTTGTTAAGAAGAAGTTGAAGAATCTGTTGTGTTCTTCAAATTTTTATTTTTTTTTATTTTTAAGTATGATAGGATCAAACAAAGCTCTGATACCATGTTAATATTTATTATTGATCAAAAGGAAGAAAAGAGAAAGAAGTAAATAATATTATTAAGCCTAATCCAATATGTCATACATCCTTAACTAAAGATACACAATGTAGGCTTTATATATTAGGGCAACAAAATAGTATAAAATGTCTAAATTACCCATAATATAAATACTCTAACAAGAAGAAATGAATAAGCAACAAGGAAAAAATAAAAATGTAAAAGTAAAAAACATATTAATGAAAATAATTCCAAAAAGTGTTTCAAACGGCATCTAAATTTTCACTAATTCTATCTAATCCAATCACCACCTGTGTTCTGACAAGGGACTCACCTGAATGCATTTGAGTTTACATTGTTTTAAAAGAAGTGGAATTGCAGAAAAAGCCCTACCCTTCTTTTTACAAGGAAAAACATTAAAATTTTATATAATTTTTTTTTTCACTTGGCTTTATATGCAAGTATTAAGACGATAGAATGCGAAAAGTTCTACATAAGTTTAATATTCAAACACAATCCTATTTTTATATAGATGTCGCCCTTTGGATGATAGTATTTTGAACAATAAAATACCATAAACACTTTGTGCAGAAACAGGGGCGGAGCCAAGATTTTATTTTAAATGGGTCCAAAATATGAGTGAAACAAATTAATCAAATTGAAATTTAAAAATTCTCAAAGACCTCCATTCTTAAGGAATAAATTGCTTGTTATTTTCATATAAAAAAATTCATTAGTTCAAATATGAGAAATATTTTAAAATTTTAAAACTATGAAAATTAAAAACAGTATCAATTCAACATCAACAAAATATGAACATACAAAGACAATAATTTTTTTATAAATATATTTCAACTCAATCATATATTAAAATGGAACATGACCTAAGTTGTTATGAATCCTAAGCCTCATCTCAAACACGATTAATTCTATGCGCAGTGTGTCAATAATTTTTTTAAAAGTACACAATCTAAGAATCAATGCAAAATCAATTTTTATCTTGTTGTAAAGTTTGATTGAGTTTATCATCCAACTTGGTCAGAGTTTTTGGAAATACAGTAATATTTTTGGGTTAGTATATTTTATTATGTGTATCTATTTGTGTATTATTGAGTTATGAACTACTAACTTACTAAAAAAAATGGGGACAATCATATTGGTTTAAGACGAAATGTATTAAATAAGGTATTTTGTTGTGTCAATACATATGAGTAAGGATATTTTAGTAGGTTAGGGGACAAGTGACCTACTAACTTAACAAAAAAGGAAAAAGATGGAGTGCCACTAGACAAACTTTAAGAAATTTTAAGGGTTAATCTCATTTGGATCCTGAAAGATTGTTCGAATCTCAATTTGTACCCTCAAAGATTAAAAATCTCAATTTATACCCTCAAAGATAGAAATTTGTATCAATGTGCACCCCCAAAGATTAAAAATCTCAATTTACACCCTCAAAAATAGAAATTTATATCAATGTGCACCCCAAAGATAAAAAATCTCAATTTGCACCCTCAAAGATAGAAATCTGTATCAATGTGCACCTAAAATTAAATTGATAAATTATACCTAGATCCCATCATACTTGTCATTTAATCATTTAGACATCTTCACATTTAGAATATTACTTCTACATCTTATGATATTTGTGCACGTATAACACGTAACCTATTTTCATTGATATCTATTAATATAACCGTTAAAAAATATAATTTTATCCTAATAAAAAATTATAATTTCATATTACCCTTTATTTTATGGGTTCAATATATTCTAAAGTTCAAAATCTAGTTTACCATTTGAATGTCTAATAAAATGTAAATATTTATATAATGTTTTTCATATTACCTTTTATATAAATATCTACATTTTATTAGACATTCAAATGGTAAGTTTGATTTTCAACTTTAGAGTATATCGAATCCACAAAATAAAAGGTAATATGAAATTATAATTTTTTATTAGGATAAAATTATATTTTTTAACGATTATATTAACAGATATCAACGAAAAATGGTTATGTGTTACACATGCACAAATGTCATAAGGAAAATATTCTAAATGTAAAGGAGTTCAAATGATTAAGTGACAAACATGAGGGGATCTATGTATAATTTATTAATTTAATTTTAGGTGCACATTGATACGAATTTCTATCTTTGAGCAATTTTTTATCTTTGGGGATGCACATTGATACAAATTTCTATCTTTGAGGGTGTAAATTGAGATTTTTTATCTTTGGGGGTGTAAATTGAGATTTGAACAATCTTTTAGGGTGCAAAATGAGATTAACCCAAATTTTAATGGGGTAATATAACAAAATTAACAAAAGAATAATATATCTTCTATTTATATTCGCGTATAGTAATTTCATGTTGTGTTTAGCCGGTTTCGTATCGACCCATTTAGTTAATGAGTCCAACAGACCCAGCCCTTTTCCACTTGAATCTACTATAGAATAACTAAAACCTACTGATTGATTTTGTGTGTAATTCGGGAGTTGGGTCGAAAATTAGCTGGCCTCATTTTATCCAAACCCCTCAATTTGTCGCCTCCATTTTCTCTTCTTTACTTATCCATCCTGTTAATCTCTCACCTTCACTCCTGCTTTAACTAATTTCATGTCGTCAAATTCTTGTCCTGAAGACACTTTGTTTATCTTACAAAATGACAAGCCGCTGTCCATTAATACGATCCGCATGGATTGACATGTCCCCTTCAAACTTGTTGGAGAGAGAGAGCGTGTGATTGTTATCAGAGTTTAGACATTAGATTTTAAATGAGCCCTGTGGGAAATGAGTTTATCATATTTCGTTGTAATACCGGTACTCCTTATCAGAGGTACCGGAATCTCTTCCTGAAAATTGATTTTTGAACTTCAACGCTTCTTACCTTTCATATCTTGAACTATTTTCTTTGGATGATATAAATGATTATATTTTAAATGCTAAACTTTGGGATTTGGACCTTGAAATGATCGTATGATTAATATATGCACATGTTATAAATTGAGTAGTGCCCATATACAAATGAAATTTTACCCGAATTTCATTTTGTTATGATTCCAGCGAATGAGATGTAACGACGTGGTATCAAATCATACGATATCCACAGATATTTTATGGGTTGATAGATGATCAATGACTTAAAAAAAACCCTTGAATTTTGGGACATCAGGGAGAGGGAGAGGGAGAGAGAGAGAGAGAGAGAGAGAGAGAGAGAGAGAGAGAGAGAGAGAGAGAGAGAGATTTAATTGTTGGCCTAATAGTATCCATTGCCATTTGATTCATTGTGGTACGTCAAATTGGAAATTAGATGAAAGGACAAAGAGGCATCCCCTCCAACCCTCGGTAAACAAAGTAGTAGTCCAGTACTACTACTTGAATCACTCGGCCATCCCTCCTATATACGACCCAAATCCCGAGAGAATAGCGGGTCACTCTTTATTAGATACGTACGACCAATTACTTATAATAAAAATACCACAAAAGAGAATTTATTCCATTTAATTGTACTGTGTATACCTCCTATCCACAACACACAAAAGGTGATTATTCCAATTTCATAGTAGAATGATTATTTGATCCTTTTTTTTTCCGTTTTTTGGAACAGAATTCAATCAAAATTCGTCACACTATTCTAATCCAAAACTTCAATGAAATCAAACTGGAAGAAACAAAAAAGGAGGTCAACGTTGTTCAGAGCCCTTTATCTCAATAAAATCATAGTACTACCCCCAAAATCCAGTTTCACAATGAAGACAAAGTTATTCAGAGCAACCCAATGCTTATAGAAATCTCAGGTGGTTCGAGAACATCTTCTAAACAAGTGAAACATCACAAAATGAATTAAAGATGAGCAGTTGGAAAAGGTTACTACAATGTGATGCTTGCTACTGGTTTTGAAAGTGGTCTGGAAGAAATAACTTGCAAGCTCTAATACAGTCGCTTCCCGACACACTAGAAGAAATGAAACAGGTAGTGGGCATGATCAATTACACAAGAATTGAAAGACCCTCCTTTTTGGGAGGTACCACTGCCTGCTTGTTTCCAGGAAAAGCATTGCGAGAGATGTCNTTATAAATTGAGTAGTGCCCATATACAAATGAAATTTTACCCGAATTTCATTTTGTTATGATTCCAGCGAATGAGATGTAACGACGTGGTATCAAATCATACGATATCCACAGATATTTTATGGGTTGATAGATGATCAATGACTTAAAAAAAACCCTTGAATTTTGGGACATCAGGGAGAGGGAGAGGGAGAGAGAGAGAGAGAGAGAGAGAGAGAGAGAGAGAGAGAGAGAGAGAGAGAGAGATTTAATTGTTGGCCTAATAGTATCCATTGCCATTTGATTCATTGTGGTACGTCAAATTGGAAAATTAGATGAAAGGACAAACAGGCATCCCCTCCAACCCTCGGTAAACAAAGTAGTAGTCCAGTACTACTACTTGAATCACTCGGCCATCCCTCCTATATACGACCCAAATCCCGAGAGAATAGCGGGTCACTCTTTATTAGATACGTACGACCAATTACTTATAATAAAAATACCACAAAAGAGAATTTATTCCATTTAATTGTACTGTGTATACCTCCTATCCACAACACACAAAAGGTGATTATTCCAATTTCATAGTAGAATGATTATTTGATCCTTTTTTTTTCCGTTTTTTGGAACAGAATTCAATCAAAATTCGTCACACTATTCTAATCCAAAACTTCAATGAAATCAAACTGGAAGAAACAAAAAAGGAGGTCAACGTTGTTCAGAGCCCTTTATCTCAATAAAATCATAGTACTACCCCCAAAATCCAGTTTCACAATGAAGACAAAGTTATTCAGAGCAACCCAATGCTTATAGAAATCTCAGGTGGTTCGAGAACATCTTCTAAACAAGTGAAACATCACAAAATGAATTAAAGATGAGCAGTTGGAAAAGGTTACTACAATGTGATGCTTGCTACTGGTTTTGAAAGTGGTCTGGAAGAAATAACTTGCAAGCTCTAATACAGTCGCTTCCCGACACACTAGAAGAAATGAAACAGGTAGTGGGCATGATCAATTACACAAGAATTGAAAGACCCTCCTTTTTGGGAGGTACCACTGCCTGCTTGTTTCCAGGAAAAGCATTGCGAGAGATGTCAACCAGGGCCTTGAAGCTATATGGTTCATGCATAGACAGTTCTGACAGAACCTTCCGGTTCAGTTGGATGTTTTCCTTCACCAGACCATGCATAAAGTTACCGTAGTTAACCTGGTGAGACAAAAGGAAACAAGAATAAAATCAAATTTTGACTTCAACTACAAGGGATAGAAAATTGTAATCTCAACCTGTTTGATTCAAATGATTATATTCAGTTCCCAACTGGCTAAGCAAACTGGTCGAGAACAAAAACCAAAACAAACCAGGGTTTCGATCAGATGTTGGGTATTGTGAGAGTCCATCTACAACTTCTATATCAACTCATACCTTAAGAATCTAGCAGTGTGACCATTTTTCATGCAGTTATTTATCTTTCAATCAGATGAAACACCATAGAAAGGAGAATAAGAACCACATCAATTTATTCAATCAGATTTTACTATAAATATGATTTTTCAGCTTCAACTAGTTTAATTTACAAATGGAAGGAAGTTGGGGCAAATTAAGCTTCCAATTATTCCCCAAAACATACTGTGAATAGGATTAAAAATTACACAGATGTCACGAAAGAACCTGCTTTACCAATTTAAGATAGTTTTGAACGAAAATGCCATTGCTTGGTTCTCTTGAGGCTTTTACTTCAATGGCATCACCTATCCTCTATTTCCAACAAGAAAACCAAGGGATGTATAGGAAAGCAAAAACACCAAGGGCAACTTAAATTTTATTCAAGAAAAGCATTGTAAAGAAAGCTTAAAATTGTTTCAGGCATACTCTCACGGGCCAACTCTTGGCACTCAAATATTGGACCTTGGAGCACCATCCTGAATGCCTCTTGCTAGACATTTAAATGTATCTCACCAAGAATGTACACAAATGCCAAGGTCACAAGTCCACAGCAAGCAAACAAGCAATAGCTGAAACGATCAAGAGGCACAAAATAATAGCATTTTTGATAATATTGCAACTCCACCAAACTACAATTAAAGGCAAGGGCCGTTCACAAGAGACGTGACTCGAGTATACCAACTCCTCTTGTATTACAGATTTATGAAACAAAAACCCAAATGACAACAATATACATCACCTCATCATATTGGGCAACCATAGTGGCCCCTTTCAAGCTAAACAAAGAATTGGATGAAGGGATATGGCATACATACAATCTAGACAACAATTGCTACATCTTTCTAATAGGGGCCCCGTGACATGACTCACTTCACTACATTAGTGCTATCAGAGAGAGTTCACATACATAATTACAAGAAAAACTACATTTTACACCACTTAATACATAACTAGATAATTTCAAAACGTGTCTTGAAGCAAGCAGCCATTTTTGAGGTTTTCATTGGACAACCTTGGCTCATGACACACATGGAGGATCAAATAACATTGGATCAGCCTTATATTCCTATTCCATGGCTTCATACAGGCTGTTTCCTGAACAAAATCTCATCTATCTATCTAGTTGAATAGTATTTGCATTATATAGAAATATACTAATTCAATCTCCAAAAGCTGGTATTGGGCTTCTGTTTCTCTTTTCCCGATGTCCAACTTAGAGTTTCCTAATGCACTTACCTAAAATAATATAGCTACCCATGCATACTATCCCCTTTTCAAGCCCTACACAAAAGTGAAGAATTAATTAGAATCGAAAGTGTTTGACAGAGGTACATTATATTTATTTTTTGTCTTGTGTTTGCAGTTTAAGAGATGAAAAGTGGCTTAAGGATTCCAACATCTGTCTGATAGGTCCCGTGTAAAAGTAAATAAAAAACACTCATGAAAATATCCTNCTGCAACACTCCTGAATGCCCCCCAATTTTTGTGTCGAGAGCCTCATGTAGTAGCCTTTTCCATAGCTCCCCTTGGGAAGGAATGAGTACCCTGTCTCTGAAGTAGAATAATCCCTGTCTTTGTGTATATGGCCCTTCGGTTTGAGTCTTGGCCAATTGAGCGACTGACTGAATGTATGGATCTCCTTCGTATGACTTCTGAACATCATCTCACATGGTTATGGTAGGTACATGGAGGTGATTAAGGATTGGACTGTTAGGCTTGCGTGAGAGGGCGTCCGCTGCTGAATTTTCACGGCCTGGGCGATAAGTGATCTCGTATTCGTAGCCTAGCAGTTTGGCTACCCATTTTTGCTGCTCTGGTGTTGCCAAACATTGTTCCAAAAAATATTTTAAGCTGCATTGGTTGGTTTAGATGAAGAACTTCCTCCCCAATAAATATGGTCGCCATACGCGTATAGCCTCCATATTTGCAAGCATTTCTTTGGCATTGGTTGACCACGATTTTTTTGTAACTCCCAGTGCACGACTCATAAAGGTGATGGGCTTGCCTTGTTGAGTTAAGACTGCGCCTATTCCTTCTCCTCCTGTAGTGTCCATTTCTATGGTGAAGGATTCATTGAAATTAGGCATTGCCAAAACAGGTGTGGTGGTCATTGCTTGCTTAAGAGTTACGAAGGCTACTCCAGCTTCCTTGTTCCATCCGAATTGTCCTTTCTTGAGGAGGTTGGTAAGGGGTCGAGCGATGATGCCATAATTCCGAATAAATTTCCTATAATATCCTGTCAAGCCTAAAAAACCACGTAATTCAGAAATATTAGTTGGTTGAGGCCACGCCACCATGGTTGCAATTTTGTGATTATCGACCTTCACTCCTTGAGGCGTAACAATGTGTCCCAAATATTCTAACTCCTGTTGGCCGAATGCACACTTGCTTGCCTTGGCAAAAAATTGATGCTACCTCAAAATCTCCAAGGTTTGTTTAACATGCACCACATGCCTATCCCAAGTAGAACTATTTATGAGAATATCATCAAAGAAAACCAAAATAAACATTCGAAGATAAGGTCGAAATATAGAGTTCATGATGGCTTGGAATGTAGAGGGTGCATTACATAGGCCAAACAGCATCACTAAATATTCGTAATAACCATTGTGAGTACAAAAAGCAGTTTTGAGTATGTTGGAAGGATTTACTCTTACTTGGTGATATCCGGCCCTTAGATCGAGCTTGGTAAAGTAGGATGCACCATGTAATTCGTCCAACATGTCGTCTACTACCAGAATGTGAAATCGGTCCTTGATGGTGGCGGTATTTAGTGCGCGGTAGTCTGTGCAAAATTGTCAACTTCCGTCCTTTTTCTTCACCAATAATACTGGTGACAAAAACGGACTGGTGCTCGGTCGAATGAGGTCGGAATTCATCATCTCTTGAACTTGTTTTTTGATTTCTTCCTTCTGGAAATGGGCAAATCAATACAGGCGTACATTAATTGACTCGGTCTTGAGTGTAATGCAATGCTCTGCCTCGCGCACAAGTGGCAGACTTGAGGGCTCTTGGAACACATCCGCATAGTCTTTCAGCAACCTCTGCATATCTTGCTTCTGATCATTAGGTGGCGCACCATGTGACGTTGTTCCTAGGGTTGGTTGAAAGCATACTGCAAATAATGCATGGGCTTGGCGAAGCTCCTTTGATAATTTGTTGGGTGAAGCAACCTGAATTGCTTGCACGTCTACACCTTGCAGCCTTCGGTTTGGATTGTCCCAAATAAAATTCATGGTCAATTGTTTCCAGTCACAGACCATGAAGCCAAACATTTGAAGCCATTGCACGCCAAGTACAAGGTCAAGACTTGTTAAAGGCAGAGAAAAAAGGGTGAGGTAAAACTCGGTGCCCTGAAACTCCACTCGTACCTTATCGTAACGCTCCTGACATTTTAGTGTCTCTCCATTGGCCACCCGGATAGAAAATGCTTCCATAGGAATGAATGGCAACCTGAGCAAGTTTGCCAAGCGATCGCTTATGAAATTATGTGCCAATCCCCTGTCAACCAAAACCACCACTTTGTGAGGGCCCATTCTTGTTGTTATGCGCATGGTTTTTGGACCAGTCTATTCTGTTAATGCATGCAACGTGATTTCGGGTTCCTGTACTTCTCCTGTATCTCCACCTTGGTCTTCTTCCAACGTCTGCTGGTCAGTAATTTCTTCGCATACCACGTTACCCGCATGCCCCTCCAAGAGTAATAATTGTGGTCTTTGACATCTATACCTAACTGTGAAGCGTTTATTGCAGTTGAAACAGAGACCTTGAGCCCTTCTCTTTTGCATTTATTCCCATGTTAAGCGTCTGATTGGAACAGCAGGGGTAGCAGGAGCTACACGCGTGGTTTGTGGAAGAGTTGGAGAAGTTCTGGTGGGTGGAGTTTGCGTGAACCGTTGCTGCTGTGTAAGCTGCTCGTCTCGCATTCGTGCTAAATTAATGGCCTCCTTGAGGGATTGTGGTTTAAACATTCGTATCCCATCAAAAATCTCAGCCTTCAAACCTCCCATGAACGTCCCCACCAACGCCCTTTGCGTTCATCCACGCACCTGGTTGTCGAGCTTCTCAAATTCATGTTGATAGTCTCTCAACGTTCCCAGTTGCCTGATCCTTGAGAGAGCTTCATCAAAGTCTTCACATCCTGATGGTCCGGAGCGAGCCCATAATTCCTCTTCGAATTTCTCCTATGAAATCACGTGTCCTTCCTGTGACGTCCTTCGAAGCCACTGCCACCATTGGTTGGCCTCCCCTTCAAGGTGGTAAGAAGACATGGGAACCTTTTGGTTCTCTGTCGTGCCCTAGTATTCAAAGAATTGTTCCACTAGATTGAGCCACTTCGTTGGATTGTCTCCGGAGAAGCATGGAAATTCTAGATTGGCTGATTTGGACGAGACCATCTGTCGGCCTCCATCTTGGTGTTCTCGGTGGTGATTGCCATGACTTGAGGACTTCGGATTAGCGAGCAACACCGAGCCCAGACTCCAAGTGCCCCATTTGCTCCTTGTTGGTTCCCATAAGATACCTGGCTTTGATACCAATGGTACGTCTCATGTAGAAGTAAATAAAAAACACTCACGAAAATATCCTCTTCGGGTGAGGATGTACCACAGTTTAACTGGAATAATTTTCTCTCCTTCATTGATAATCCACGACTGCTTAAATAGCAGACCATATGCATGAAATTGAAAAACAGAGTAAGTCGAAAACAGAGGAACATCCTAAGGCCACTACCAGTAACCGACGCCTAACATCACGAAATAATAGAAATGAACTCCACGTACTACTGAAATAAAATGCAACAGAAAGATAACATCAAGCTTAAATTTCTCCAACTGCTAAGACCCAGTCCATGCACGCCACTCCCATGCACTACGTCGTTACATCCCGTTTGCGTCTCCCGTCAACCTCCTCCCAAATATTTGGTAATTGGTTTGAAACCTCCACCTGAACGTCATGGCTTATCAATACTTCCCCCACCGGGTGGACTCTTGTCCGCAAGGTCCACATCTGGAAATTGCTCAAGCAATGACTGGTGCGTCTCCCACGTGGCCTCTTCACCTGGCAAATGTTTCCATTGAACCAACTGTTCTTCTTCAAACTTCTTGCCCTTTTTGACCCAGCGAGTATCCAGAATGCGCTGGGCCTCAAGTACAATCGCTCCTTCATCAGTTACGGGTGGCAACTCAGTAGAGGACAGTGTATGCTCGCCAAAAAATTTCTTGAAGAGGGAAATGTGAAAAACTGGGTGAATGCGAGGTTTGTAAGCAACCGCTCCAATTTTTTGTATCACAGGATACAGCCCATAAAATCGACTAGCAAGCTTCTGGTGGGCACTTTTAAAAACTGACTATTACCGATAGGGATGCAACTTGAGAAACACCATTTCACCTACGTCGAATGTGACGTCCTTCCTTTTTTGATCAGCCGTTTGCTTCATGCAATTGATGGAGGCTTTCAAATTGGCTTTGAGCTTTCACNTTCACCTACTTCGAATGTGACATCCTTCCTTTTTTGATCAGCCGTTTGCTTCATGCAATTGATGGAGGCTTTCAAATTGGCTTTGAGCTTTCATGTTATCGCATCTCTAGTTATCAGTTGCTCATCCACTTCGTTGACGGAAGAAAAACCATTATGATAAAGTGGGAATCAGGGGGGCGGATGCCCGTATAACGCCTGAAATGGAGTCATTCCCGTTGAAGCATGGTACGTTGTATTATACCATAACTCAGCCCAAGGAAGATAGGCACTCCACTTGCGCGACCATTGATGCACAAAGCACCGAAGATATTGCTCCACACAGCGGTTGACCACTTTCGTTTGGCCGTCGGTTTGCGGATGATAGGTGGAGCTAAGTTGTAACTTGGTGCCTGACATTTGAAAAATTTCTTGCCAAAACCTGCTAATAAAGACTGAATCGCGATCACTAATGATGGATTTTGGCACGCCATGCAACTTGATAATCCCTTCCACAAATTTTTCAGCCACACCTTCAGCAGTAAATGGATGAGTTAAAGTTAGGAAATGTGCAGATTTACTTAACCTGTCCACTACTACCAATATTGAGTCCTTGCCGTGGGAAGTGGGCAGTCCTTCATGGAAGTCAAGAGTGATATCATCCCATACTTGGCATGGAATGGGCAATGGTTGGAGAAGTCCTACAGGTGAGAGTGTCTCGGATTTCATCTTTTGGCATACTTCATAGCGCTGGACGTATTCGTGGACTTCTTGATACATTTTAGGCCAATAAAACTGTTGAGCCAACCGCTTGAGCGTCCGCAACACTCCTGAATGCCCCCCAATTTTTGTGTCGAGAGCCTCATGTAGTAGCCTTTTCCGTAGCTCCCCTTGGGAAGGAATGAGTACCCTGCCTCTGAAGTAGAATAATCCCTGTCTTTGTGTATATGGCCCTTCGGTTTGAGTCTTGGCCAATTGAGCGACTGACCGAATGTATGGATCTCCTTCGTATGACTTCTGAACATCATCTCACATGGTTATGGTAGGTACATGGAGGTGATTAAGGATTGGACTGTTAGGCTTGCGTGAGAGGACGTCCGCTGCTGAATTTTCACGGCCTGGGCGATAAGTGATCTCGTATTCGTAGCCTAGCAGTTTGGCTACCCATTTTTGCTGCTCTGGTGTTGCCAAACATTGTTCCAAACAATATTTTAAGCTGCATTGGTTGGTTTAGATGAAGAACTTCCTCCCCAATAAATATGGTCCCCATACGCGTATAGCCTCCATATTTGCAAGCATTTCTTTGGCGTTGGTTGACCACGATTTTTTTGTAACTCCCAGTGCACGACTCATAAAGGTGATGGGCTTGCCTTGTTGAGTAAAGACTGCGCCTATTCCTTCTCCTCTTGTAGTGTCCATTTCTATGGTGAAAGATTCATTGAAATTAGGCATTGCCAAAACAGGTGTGGTGGTCATTGCTTGCTTAAGAGTTACGAAGGCTACTCCAGCTTCCTTGTTCCATCCGAATTGTCCTTTCTTGAGGAGGTTGGTAAGGGGTCGAGCGATGATGCCATAATTCCGAATAAATTTCCTATAATATCCTGTCAAGCCTAAAAAACCACGTAATTCAGAAATATTAGTTGGTTGAGGCCACGCCACCATGGCTGCAATTTTGTGATTATCGACCTTCACTCCTTGAGGCGTAACAATGTGTCCCAAATATTCTAACTCCTGTTGGCCGAATGCACACTTGCTTGCCTTGGCAAAAAATTGATGCTACCTCAAAATCTCCAAGGTTTGTTTAACATGCACCACATGCCTATCCCAAGTAGAACTATTTATGAGAATATCATCAAAGAAAACCAAAATAAACATTCGAAGATAAGGTCGAAATATAGAGTTCATGATGGCTTGGAATGTAGAGGGTGCATTACATAGGCCAAACAGCATCACTAAATATTCGTAATAACCATTGTGAGTACAAAAAGCAGTTTTGAGTATGTTGGAAGGATTTACTCTTACTTGGTGATATCCGGCCCTTAGATCGAGCTTGGTAAAGTAGGATGCGCCATGTAATTCGTCCAACATGTCGTCTACTACCAGAATGTGAAATCGGTCCTTGATGGTGGCGGTATTTAGTGCGCGGTAGTCTGTGCAAAATTGTCAACTTCCGTCCTTTTTCTTCACCAATAATACTGGTGACAAAAACGGACTGGTGCTCGGTCGAATGAGGTCGGAATTCATCATCTCTTGAACTTGTTTTTTGATTTCTTCCTTCTGGAAATGGGCAAATCAATACAGGCGTACATTAATTGACTCGGTCTTGAGTGTAATGCAATGCTCTGNGATTTCTTCCTTCTGGAAATGGGCAAATCAATACAGGCGTACATTAATTGACTCGGTCCCCTCCTTGAGTGTAATGCAATGCTCTGCCTCGCGCACAAGTGGCAGACTTGAGGGCTCTTGGAACACATCCGCATAGTCTTTCAGCAACCTCTGCATATCTTGCTTCTGATCATTAGGTGGCGCACCATGTGACGTTGTTCCTAGGGTTGGTTGAAAGCATACTGCAAATAATGCATGGGCTTGGCGAAGCTCCTTTGATAATTTGTTGGGTGAAGCAACCTGAATTGCTTGCACGTCTACACCTTGCAGCCTTCGGTTTGGANCGTAACAATGTGTCCCAAATATTCTAACTCCTGTTGGCCGAATGCACACTTGCTTGCCTTGGCAAAAAATTGATGCTACCTCAAAATCTCCAAGGTTTGTTTAACATGCACCACACATGCCTATCCCAAGTAGAACTATTTATGAGAATATCATCAAAGAAAACCAAAATAAACTTTCGAAGATAAGGTCGAAATATAGAGTTCATGATGGCTTGGAATGTAGAGGGTGCATTACATAGGCCAAACAGCATCACTAAATATTCGTAATAACCATTGTGAGTACAAAAAGCAGTTTTGAGTATGTTGGAAGGATTTACTCTTACTTGGTGATATCCGGCCCTTAGATCGAGCTTGGTAAAGTAGGATGCGCCATGTAATTCGTCCAACATGTCGTCTACTACCAGAATGTGAAATCGGTCCTTGATGGTGGCGGTATTTAGTGCGCGGTAGTCTGTGCAAAATTGTCAACTTCCGTCCTTTTTCTTCACCAATAATACTGGTGACAAAAACGGACTGGTGCTCGGTCGAATGAGGTCGGAATTCATCATCTCTTGAACTTGTTTTTTGATTTCTTCCTTCTGGAAATGGGCAAATCAATACAGGCGTACATTAATTGACTCGGTCCCCTCCTTGAGTGTAATGCAATGCTCTGCCTCGCGCACAAGTGGCAGACTTGAGGGCTCTTGGAACACATCCGCATAGTCTTTCAGCAACCTCTGCATATCTTGCTTCTGATCATTAGGTGGCGCACCATGTGACGTTGTTCCTAGGGTTGGTTGAAAGCATACTGCAAATAATGCATGGGCTTGGCGAAGCTCCTTTGATAATTTGTTGGGTGAAGCAACCTGAATTGCTTGCACGTCTACGCCTTGCAGCCTTCGGTTTGGATTGTCCCAAATAAAATTCATGGTCAATTGTTTCCAGTCACAGACCATGAAGCCAAGCATTTGAAGCCATTGCACGCCAAGTACAAGGTCAAGACTTGTTAAAGGCAGAGACAAAAGGGTGAGGTAAAACTCGGTGCCCTGAAACTCCACTCGTACCTTATCGTAACGCTCCTGACATTTTAGTGTCTCTCCATTGGCCACCCGGATTGAAAATGCTTCCATAGGAATGAATGGCAACGTGAGCAAGTTTGCCAAGCGATCGCTTATGAAATTATGTGCCAATCCCCTGTCAACCAAAACCACCACTTTGTGAGGGCCCATTCTTGTTGTTATGCGCATGGTTTTTGGACCAGTCTATTCTATTAATGCATGCAACGTGATTTCGGGTTCCTGTACTTCTCCTGTATCTCCACCTTGGTCTTCTTCCAACGTCTGCTGGTCAGTAATTTCTTCGCATACCACGTTACCCGCATGCCCCTCCAAGAGTAATAATTGTGGTCTTTGACATCTATACCTAACTGTGAAGCATTTATTGTAGTTGAAACAGAGACCTTGAGCCCTTCTCTTTTGCATTTATTCCCATGTTAAGCGTCTGATTGGAACAGCAGGGGTAGCAGGAGCTACACGCGTGGTTTGTGGAAGAGTTGGAGAAGTTCTGGTGGGTGGAGTTTGCGTGAACCGTTGCTGCTGTGTAAGCTGCTCGTCTCGCATTCGTGCTAAATTAATGGCCTCCTTGAGGGATTGTGGTTTAAACATTCATATCCCATCAAAAATCTCAGCCTTCAAACCTCCCATGAACGTCCCCACCAACGCCCTTTGCGTTCATCCACGCACCTGGTTGTCGAGCTTCTCAAATTCATGTTGATAGTCTCTCAACGTTCCCAGTTGCCTGATCCTTGAGAGAGCTTCATCAAAGTCTTCACATCCTGATGGTCCGGAGCGAGCCCATAATTCCTCTTCGAATTTCTCCTATGAAATCACGTGTCCTTCCTGTGACGTCCTTCGAAGCCACTGCCACCATTGGTTGGCCTCCCCTTCAAGGTGGTAAGAAGACATGGGAACCTTTTGGTTCTCTGTCGTGCCCTAGTATTCAAAGAATTGTTCCACTAGATTGAGCCACTTCGTTGGATTGTCTCCGGAGAAGCATGGAAATTCTAGATTGGCTGATTTGGACGAGACCATCTGTCGGCCTCCATCTTGGTGTTCTCGGTGGTGATTGCCATGACTTGAGGACTTCGGATTAGCGAGCAACACCGAGCCCAGACTCCAAGTGCCCCATTTGCTCCTTGTTGGTTCCCATAAGATACCTGGCTTTGATACCAATGGTACGTCTCATGTAGAAGTAAATAAAAAACACTCACGAAAATATCCTCTTCGGGTGAGGATGTACCACAGTTTAACTGGAATAATTTTCTCTCCTTCATTGATAATCCACGGCTGCTTAAATAGCAGACCATATGCATGAAATTGAAAAACAGAGTAAGCCGAAAACAGAGTAACATCCTAAGGCCACTACCAGTAACCGACGCCTAACAACACGAAATAATAGAAATGGACTCCACGTACTACTGAAATAAAATGCAACAGAAAGATAACATCAAGCTTAAATTTCTCCAACTGCTAATACCCAGTCCATGCATGCCACTCCCATGCACTACATCATTACGTCCCGTTTGCGTCTCTCGTCAACCTCCTCCCAAATATTTGGGATTTGGTTTGAAACCTCTAGCCGAACGTCGTGTGGCTTATCACTATCAAACGTCAAGAACAGTCCAAAAAAAAAAAAAAAAAAAAGAAGGAATCCACTAAACCAAAAGACCGAATCTTCCAACATTATTGACAATAAGTTCCTTATTTGAGTAAGAAATGAATCGCTTGATCATTTTTAAATCCCCTCTACCAAAATACAAACAACATCAATGTATTGTGAAACCTTTATTTTCCCCCACTAACTGACAAGTTCGATTCTCTATTTATTTTTCCCTGGCAGAGTACAAGGTATGTATCAATTCTACCACTTGATTACATCAATATATAGAGAGATGTAAAGATAAACAAGACACAAGGAAAAAAAATTGGTTTGGTCTAGTTTACAATGCAATGTGGGAATGCATTCTTTTTAATTCATTTCAAAGCATCTTTTCATCTCCAACTTCTCAAGATGTAACTCAACTCAATTTTTTAACAAAAGAAAGCTCTATTTACTTCGGTTTTAAGCCGGAGAAAAAGTTTTTACCCCTCGTAAGGATTCTTGCCAGAGGCCACCAGACTCTTTAGTGAATATCCCCTATCAATCTTGCTTCCCTATCTATCTCCACCTTTTTCTCTACATTATTTTTGCTCTATGTCCCATACATGTGATATAAAAAACATCAAATTTTGTCCATAAAAAACATTACAGCTTGAAGTGAAGTAAAACAAAGAGCCCTGAAAAACATGTAATTAAAATTGATCTTATTCACACATATTGAAACAGTAGTCAAAACAATTCATCTATATTCAAATAAATTGCATTTGCAATAAACAATACAGTAACACACAGAAATTTAGGTTATATTATAAGGTCTACTAACCCCTACATTCAATAACACCCACTTCAATTTTTACCCTTTTCTTAATTCCCTATCAATCTCTGTTACGGGCATGGTAGTTTACCAAGTGAACACAACATGTGATGTGGCCTGTGTGCTTGCCGTGTTTGCTGGTAATTGGGTTAGTGTGGGATATGATGGAATGGGTCATGGGTAGATAGATATTTAGTTGGTTGTTCCTTTTAATTAGGTCTCTAGTTGATGATAAATAGCTTTGTGGTAGTTATGGTTTCCTATTAGTTTGCATTGTTGTTTCTTTCATTCCAAGTGGTGTAAGGCTATAAGAGATAGCCATTTCCATTCAGTAAGGAGAATATGCAGACTTAAAGACCAACTCTTCTCTACATCTTTTCTATCCTTTGTTTCCGAAATTCTACACATAACATTGGTATCAGAGCATAATCCACAAAGCCCAGTTTACCAATGGACACCAGGGGGAAAACAAATGCAAAATTCCGCAATGACATCAATGAGATCTTGGCTCGACACAAATCCAGTTTCGACTAGGTTAATGTTGCTCTACAAGCCATCTTAACTGAGCTACAAGTTTTGAGAGTTTCACGAAGTCCCCTCCACCACCAANAACATCCTAAGGCCACTACCAGTAACCGACGCCTAACATCACGAAATAATAGAAATGAACTCCACGTACTACTGAAATAAAATGCAACAGAAAGATAACATCAAGCTTAAATTTCTCCAACTGCTAAGACCCAGTCCATGCACGCCACTCCCATGCACTACGTCGTTACATCCCGTTTGCGTCTCCCGTCAACCTCCTCCCAAATATTTGGTAATTGGTTTGAAACCTCCACCTGAACGTCATGGCTTATCAATACTTCCCCCACCGGGTGGACTCTTGTCCGCAAGGTCCACATCTGGAAATTGCTCAAGCAATGACTGGTGCGTCTCCCACGTGGCCTCTTCACCTGGCAAATGTTTCCATTGAACCAACTGTTCTTCTTCAAACTTCTTGCCCTTTTTGACCCAGCGAGTATCCAGAATGCGCTGGGCCTCAAGTACAATCGCTCCTTCATCAGTTACGGGTGGCAACTCAGTAGAGGACAGTGTATGCTCGCCAAAAAATTTCTTGAAGAGGGAAATGTGAAAAACTGGGTGAATGCGAGGTTTGTAAGCAACCGCTCCAATTTTTTGTATCACAGGATACAGCCCATAAAATCGACTAGCAAGCTTCTGGTGGGCACTTTTAAAAACTGACTATTACCGATAGGGATGCAACTTGAGAAACACCATTTCACCTACGTCGAATGTGACGTCCTTCCTTTTTTGATCAGCCGTTTGCTTCATGCAATTGATGGAGGCTTTCAAATTGGCTTTGAGCTTTCACGTTATCGCATCTCTAGTTATCAGTTGCTCATCCACTTCGTTGACGGAAGAAAAACCATTATGATAAAGTGGGAATCAGGGGGGCGGATGCCCGTATAACGCCTGAAATGGAGTCATTCCCGTTGAAGCATGGTACGTTGTATTATACCATAACTCAGCCCAAGGAAGATAGGCACTCCACTTGCGCGACCATTGATGCACAAAGCACCGAAGATATTGCTCCACACAGCGGTTGACCACTTTCGTTTGGCCGTCGGTTTGCGGATGATAGGTGGAGCTAAGTTGTAACTTGGTGCCTGACATTTGAAAAATTTCTTGCCAAAACCTGCTAATAAAGACTGAATCGCGATCACTAATGATGGATTTTGGCACGCCATGCAACTTGATAATCCCTTCCACAAATTTTTCAGCCACACCTTCAGCAGTAAATGGATGAGTTAAAGTTAGGAAATGTGCAGATTTACTTAACCTGTCCACTACTACCAATATTGAGTCCTTGCCGTGGGAAGTGGGCAGTCCTTCATGGAAGTTGAGAGTGATATCATCCCATACTTGGCATGGAATGGGCAATGGTTGGAGAAGTCCTACAGGTGAGAGTGTCTCGGATTTCATCTTTTGGCATACTTCATAGCGCTGGACGTATTCGTGGACTTCTTGATACATTTTAGGCCAATAAAACTGTTGAGCCAACCGCTTGAGCGTCCGCAACACTCCTGAATGCCCCCCAATTTTTGTGTCGAGAGCCTCATGTAGTAGCCTTTTCCGTAGCTCCCCTTGGGAAGGAATGAGTACCCTGCCTCTGAAGTAGAATAATCCCTGTCTTTGTGTATATGGCCCTTCGGTTTGAGTCTTGGCCAATTGAGCGACTGACCGAATGTATGGATCTCCTTCGTATGACTTCTGAACATCATCTCACATGGTTATGGTAGGTACATGGAGGTGATTAAGGATTGGACTGTTAGGCTTGCGTGAGAGGACGTCCGCTGCTGAATTTTCACGGCCTGGGCGATAAGTGATCTCGTATTCGTAGCCTAGCAGTTTGGCTACCCATTTTTGCTGCTCTGGTGTTGCCAAACATTGTTCCAAACAATATTTTAAGCTGCATTGGTTGGTTTAGATGAAGAACTTCCTCCCCAATAAATATGGTCCCCATACGCGTATAGCCTCCATATTTGCAAGCATTTCTTTGGCGTTGGTTGACCACGATTTTTTTGTAACTCCCAGTGCACGACTCATAAAGGTGATGGGCTTGCCTTGTTGAGTAAAGACTGCGCCTATTCCTTCTCCTCCTGTAGTGTCCATTTCTATGGTGAAGGATTCATTGAAATTAGGCATTGCCAAAACAGGTGTGGTGGTCATTGCTTGCTTAAGAGTTACGAAGGCTACTCCAGCTTCCTTGTTCCATCCGAATTGTCCTTTCTTGAGGAGGTTGGTAAGGGGTCGAGCGATGATGCCATAATTCCGAATAAATTTCCTATAATATCCTGTCAAGCCTAAAAAACCACGTAATTCAGAAATATTAGTTGGTTGAGGCCACGCCACCATGGCTGCAATTTTGTGATTATCGACCTTCACTCCTTGAGGCGTAACAATGTGTCCCAAATATTCTAACTCCTGTTGGCCGAATGCACACTTGCTTGCCTTGGCAAAAAATTGATGCTACCTCAAAATCTCCAAGGTTTGTTTAACATGCACCACACATGCCTATCCCAAGTAGAACTATTTATGAGAATATCATCAAAGAAAACCAAAATAAACTTTCGAAGATAAGGTCGAAATATAGAGTTCATGATGGCTTGGAATGTAGAAGGTGCATTACATAGGCCAAACAGCATCACTAAATATTCGTAATAACCATTGTGAGTACAAAAAGCAGTTTTGAGTATGTTGGAAGGATTTACTCTTACTTGGTGATATCCGGCCCTTAGATCGAGCTTGGTAAAGTAGGATGCACCATGTAATTCGTCCAACATGTCGTCTACTACCAGAATGTGAAATCGGTCCTTGATGGTGGCGGTATTTAGTGCGCGGTAGTCTGTGCAAAATTGTCAACTTCCGTCCTTTTTCTTCACCAATAATACTGGTGACAAAAACGGACTGGTGCTCGGTCGAATGAGGTCGGAATTCATCATCTCTTGAACTTGTTTTTTGATTTCTTCCTTCTGGAAATGGGCAAATCAATACAGGCGTACATTAATTGACTCGGTCTTGAGTGTAATGCAATGCTCTGCCTCGCGCACAAGTGGCAGACTTGAGGGCTCTTGGAACACATCCGCATAGTCTTTCAGCAACCTCTGCATATCTTGCTTCTGATCATTAGGTGGCGCACCATGTGACGTTGTTCCTAGGGTTGGTTGAAAGCATACTGCAAATAATGCATGGGCTTGGCGAAGCTCCTTTGATAATTTGTTGGGTGAAGCAACCTGAATTGCTTGCACGTCTACACCTTGCAGCCTTCGGTTTGGATTGTCCCAAATAAAATTCATGGTCAATTGTTTCCAGTCACAGACCATGAAGCCAAACATTTGAAGCCATTGCACGCCAAGTACAAGGTCAAGACTTGTTAAAGGCAGAGAAAAAAGGGTGAGGTAAAACTCGGTGCCCTGAAACTCCACTCGTACCTTATCGTAACGCTCCTGACATTTTAGTGTCTCTCCATTGGCCACCCGGATAGAAAATGCTTCCATAGGAATGAATGGCAACGTGAGCAAGTTTGCCAAGCGATCGCTTATGAAATTATGTGCCAATCCCCTGTCAACCAAAACCACCACTTTGTGAGGGCCCATTCTTGTTGTTATGCGCATGGTTTTTGGACCAGTCTATTCTGTTAATGCATGCAACGTGATTTCGGGTTCCTGTACTTCTCCTGTATCTCCACCTTGGTCTTCTTCCAACGTCTGCTGGTCAGTAATTTCTTCGCATACCACGTTACCCGCATGCCCCTCCAAGAGTAATAATTGTGGTCTTTGACATCTATACCTAACTGTGAAGCGTTTATTGCAGTTGAAACAGAGACCTTGAGCCCTTCTCTTTTGCATTTATTCCCATGTTAAGCGTCTGATTGGAACAGCAGGGGTAGCAGGAGCTACACGCGTGGTTTGTGGAAGAGTTGGAGAAGTTCTGGTGGGTGGAGTTTGCGTGAACCGTTGCTGCTGTGTAAGCTGCTCGTCTCGCATTCGTGCTAAATTAATGGCCTCCTTGAGGGATTGTGGTTTAAACATTCGTATCCCATCAAAAATCTCAGCCTTCAAACCTCCCATGAACGTCCCCACCAACGCCCTTTGCGTTCATCCACGCACCTGGTTGTCGAGCTTCTCAAATTCATGTTGATAGTCTCTCAACGTTCCCAGTTGCCTGATCCTTGAGAGAGCTTCATCAAAGTCTTCACATCCTGATGGTCCGGAGCGAGCCCATAATTCCTCTTCGAATTTCTCCTATGAAATCACGTGTTCTTCCTGTGACGTCCTTCGAAGCCACTGCCACCATTGGTTGGCCTCCCCTTCAAGGTGGTAAGAAGACATGGGAACCTTTTGGTTCTCTGTCGTGCCCTAGTATTCAAAGAATTGTTCCACTAGATTGAGCCACTTCGTTGGATTGTCTCCGGAGAAGCATGGAAATTCTAGATTGGCTGATTTGGACGAGACCATCTGTCGGCCTCCATCTTGGTGTTCTCGGTGGTGATTGCCATGACTTGAGGACTTCGGATTAGCGAGCAACACCGAGCCCAGACTCCAAGTGCCCCATTTGCTCCTTGTTGGTTCCCATAAGATACCTGGCTTTGATACCAATGGTACGTCTCATGTAGAAGTAAATAAAAAACACTCACGAAAATATCCTCTTCGGGTGAGGATGTACCACAGTTTAACTGGAATAATTTTCTCTCCTTCATTGATAATCCACGGCTGCTTAAATAGCAGACCATATGCATGAAATTGAAAAACAGAGTAAGCCGAAAACAGAGTAACATCCTAAGGCCACTACCAGTAACCGACGCCTAACAACACGAAATAATAGAAATGGACTCCACGTACTACTGAAATAAAATGCAACAGAAAGATAACATCAAGCTTAAATTTCTCCAACTGCTAATACCCAGTCCATGCATGCCACTCCCATGCACTACATCATTACGTCCCGTTTGCGTCTCTCGTCAACCTCCTCCCAAATATTTGGGATTTGGTTTGAAACCTCTAGCCGAACGTCGTGTGGCTTATCACTATCAAACGTCAAGAACAGTCCAAAAAAAAAAAAAAAAAAAAAAAGGAATCCACTAAACCAAAAGACCGAATCTTCCAACATTATTGACANCAAAAAAAAAAAAAAAAAAAAAGAAGGAATCCACTAAACCAAAAGACCGAATCTTCCAACATTATTGACAATAAGTTCCTTATTTGAGTAAGAAATGAATCGCTTGATCATTTTTAAATCCCCTCTACCAAAATACAAACAACATCAATGTATTGTGAAACCTTTATTTTCCCCCACTAACTGACAAGTTCGATTCTCTATTTATTTTTCCCTGGCAGAGTACAAGGTATGTATCAATTCTACCACTTGATTACATCAATATATAGAGAGATGTAAAGATAAACAAGACACAAGGAAAAAAAATTGGTTTGGTCTAGTTTACAATGCAATGTGGGAATGCATTCTTTTTAATTCATTTCAAAGCATCTTTTCATCTCCAACTTCTCAAGATGTAACTCAACTCAATTTTTTAACAAAAGAAAGCTCTATTTACTTCGGTTTTAAGCCGGAGAAAAAGTTTTTACCCCTCGTAAGGATTCTTGCCAGAGGCCACCAGACTCTTTAGTGAATATCCCCTATCAATCTTGCTTCCCTATCTATCTCCACCTTTTTCTCTACATTATTTTTGCTCTATGTCCCATACATGTGATATAAAAAACATCAAATTTTGTCCATAAACAACATTACAGCTTGAAGTGAAGTAAAACAAAGAGCCCTGATAAACATGTAATTAAAATTGATCTTATTCACACATATTGAAACAGTAGTCAAAACAATTCATCTATATTCAAATAAATTGCATTTGCAATAAACAATACAGTAACACACAGAAATTTAGGTTATATTATAAGGTCTACTAACCCCTACATTCAATAACACCCACTTCAATTTTTACCCTTTTCTTAATTCCCTATCAATCTCTGTTACGGGCATGGTAGTTTACCAAGTGAACACAACATGTGATGTGGCCTGTGTGCTTGCCGTGTTTGCTGGTAATTGGGTTAGTGTGGGATATGATGGAATGGGTCATGGGTAGATAGATATTTAGTTGGTTGTTCCTTTAATTAGGTCTCTAGTTGATGATAAATAGCTTTGTGGTAGTTATGGTTTCCTATTAGTTTGCATTGTTGTTTCTTTCATTCCAAGTGGTGTAAGGCTATAAGAGATAGCCATTTCCATTCAGTAAGGAGAATAAGCAGACTTAAAGACCAACTCTTCTCTACATCTTTTCTATCCTTTGTTTCCGAAATTCTACACATAACATTGGTATCAGAGCATAATCCACAAATCCCAGTTTACCAATGGACACCAGGGGGAAAACAAATGCAAAATTCCGCAATGACATCAATGAGATCTTGGCTCGACACAAATCCAGTTTCGACTAGGTTAATGTTGCTCTACAAGCCATCTTAACTGAGCTACAAGTTTTGAGAGTTTCACGAAGTCCCCTCCACCACCAATCAAAAATTAACCCATTCGGTTCCAGATAGTCATCCAATCCCAACCGTGAAAATCATCCTCAACACCTCAAGCTACTCTTTCCCAAATTTAACGGGGAAGACCCCATGGGCTGGTTATACAAGGCTGACCAATACTTTAATTTTAACAACGTTGCCCAAGACCAAAGATTTCAGCTAGCCTCTTTCCATCTTGAAGGTCTCGCCTTTCAATGGCATCGATGGCTCTCATAGTTTCGTGAACTAGTAACGTGGAATGAGTTCTCTAATGCAGTATTACTCCAGTTTGGTCCAACCGACTACGAAGACCTTTCAGAAGCACTTACTCGACTGCGTCAGTCAACAACAGTCGCTGCCTATTAGGATTCTTTTGAACGCTTATCGCATCAGGTGGATGGTATTCCGGAAAGCTTCCTTATTGGTTGCTTCATTGCTGGGTTACGCGATGAAATACGCTTGGATGTTCAAATCAAACACCCCACCACATTGGCTAACACTATAGGCGTTGCAAGGTTGATCGACGAACGAAACCTCTTGCAAAAGAAGTCAACCCACCTTTTCGCAACACATCTACTACACCGACATTGCTACGACAAACGCCCATGGCTGGCGTGCTTGGACCTCCTTTCAACATACGAACAACAACCAATCTAACAACTCCTCCATCTCAGTTTCACCGCATCACAACCCAGGAGGCCATGGAATGACGTGAAAAGGATCTCTGTTATTATTGTGACGACAAATTCACTCCGGGCCATCGTTGTGAATGACCATAGTTATTCATGATTGAGGACACTTTGGCCTCAAGCACAGACGACGATAATGACGTCATAATAGAAGTCGAAAATAATGAGTCCATGCCAAAAATATCCTTCCATGCTATAACTGGCACCACCCATCCACAAACGCTTCGTGTCAGAGGCAAGATGAAACAAAAAGATGTGACCGTGTCGATCGATGGCGGTAGCACCCATAATTTATTGATCAAGCCCTTGTAACTAAATATGACTTACCAGTGGTTCGTGATAGAAAGTTTCAGGTGATGGTTGCCAATCAAGACAAGATCGATTACGCTAGGTACTGTGAAGCTCTCACCATCACTATTCAGGGCTATCCAGTTATGGATGATTACTTTGTACTTCCAGTTGCGGCTTGCCAAGTAGTTTTGGGAGTGCAATGGTTGGCAACCCTTGGACCCATTGAGACAGACTATGCTCGACTTACCATGAGCTTTCGAAAGGAAGGAATCACACATACGTTCCATGGCTTGCAACAACGTGAAATCTAAATCCTATCCGATAAAGAATTACATAACTTGCAGAATTCTGGATTCCTCTTTCAAATCATTCTGGCAGGCACAGACTCTTAACCCAAGGACTATCCAACTGACTTGGGCCAACTCTTGGATTCTTTTTCTCACGTCTTCAAAACTGCTACGAGTCTGCCTCGTCATCGAACACATGATCATTACATTCCATTGCAACCCAACGTTGCACCAGTTTCTATTTGACCGTACTGCTATCCCTATTATAAAAAAACACGAAATTGAGCGAATGGTTCAAGAGCTACTTTAGGTCGGATTCATACGTCCTAGTACGAGTCCCTTCTCGTCTCCAGTTCTCTTGGTCAAGAAAGCAAATGGGGAATGGAGGTTTTGCGTGGATTACAGAAGCTTAAACACCATCACAATCAAATATAAGTATCCTATACCCGTCACATATGAATTACTGGATGAACTTCATGGAGCCAAGTTCTTTTCAAAACTCGATATTCGGGCAGGATACCATTAGATTCGTGTCCATGCTGAGGACATCTCAAAAACTATTTTTTGCACTCATGAGGGCCACTATGATTTCGTTGTTATGCCCTTTGGCCTCACGAATGCCCCCGCAACATTCCAAAGTTTGATGAATGACCTTTTTCGTCCCCATCTCAAGAAATTTTTTTTAGTGTTTTTTGACGACATTAGTTTATTCCAAGTCCTGGGATGAGCATCTGTTAAGGGTGGTACTGAAAATTTTATCTACTAACAAGCTATTTGCCAAGAAGACAAAATGCAGGTTTGGCGTTGCCACAGTAGATTACTTGGGTTATATCATCTCTTAACAAGGAGTAGCGGTAGATCCGATGAAAATCCAGGTCGTCCTTGATTGGCCAGTACCCACAACAGTCAAGGGTGTACAAGAGTTCCATGGTCTAGCGGGATACTATCGAAAATTCATTAAGCACTTTGGAATCATTGCCGCACCACTTAACCATCTCTTGAAAAAGGATGGTTTTCCACTGCAATGAGGCAGCAGATACAGCTTTCCAACATTTGAAGCAAGCCTTGACACAACCGCCAATTTTGGGTTTTCCTGATTTCATAAAACAATTCGTGATTGAGTGTGATGCAAGCGGTTTGGGCATTGGTGTTATACTCTCCCAAAACTCATGCCCCATAGCTTATTTGAGTGAAACCTTGAAGGGAAAAGCTTTGACTCTGTTGACGTATGAAAAGGAGATGTTGGCCCTCGTAAAATCGATCCAAAAGTGGCGCCCTTATTTACTAGGGAAACCCTTTACAGTTCATACGGATCAAAAGAGTCTCAAGTACTTACTTGAGCAACATATTATCACTCCAGCTCAACTTCGTTGGCTTTCGAAAATAATGGGGTATGATTACGAAATTGAATATAAGCAAGGTACCAAGAATCAAGGGGCTGACTCATTATCTAGGGTGGTAGAGTTTCAGTTGCTATCAATCTCCATGCCCAATGCTGAATAGTGGAAAGATATACAAACAGAGGTTCAAAATGATCCCTTCTATATCACGTTGACAGTGACTCCATCGCATGCAGGGTTGTTACATTGAGATGGCGTATGGTTCAAATTTGGAAAGATCTATTTGAGTCCAACTTTTCCACTAATTCCTAAAGTACTCGGTGAATGTCATTTGATGCCATCAGGGGAACATTTTGGGTTTCATAAGATTCTTTCTCGCGTGAAGAGTAGTTTTGTTTGTCCTCAAATGCAACGATCCATTATGAATTTTTTGCAACAGTGTGAAATTTGTCAAAGATTCAAAACCGATTGCATGAAGCCCGTAGGCTTACTACAGCCCCTTCNTTTCGATGAAATTTGACAGCGTAACTAGATTTCGTGAGACAAATCCAATGGTGAGGTCTATTTTGTCATCCGAGATCTAAAAAAATTTAGATTTATACCCGTATCAACTTACTTGAGCAACATATTACCACTCCAGCTCAACTTCGTTGGCTTTCGAAAATAATGGCGTATGATTACGAAATTGAATTTAAGCAAGGTACCGAGAATCAAGGGGCTGACTCATTATCTAGGGTGGTAGAGTTTCAGTTGCTATCAATCTCCATGCCCAATGCTAAATAGTGGAAAGATATACAAACAGAGGTTCAAAATGATCCCTTCTATATCACGTTGACAGTGACTCCATCGCATGCAGGGTTGTTACATTGAGATGGCGTATGGTTCAAATTTGAAAAGATCTATTTGAGTCCAACTTTTCCACTAATTCCTAAAGTACTCGANCAAAAAAATACAGCCTCTTAAAGACCGAAAATTCGGGTCTGACACAAAAAAGGGGTGCAACACGAGGACTTCCCAGGGGGTCACCCATCCTAGTACTACTCTCGCCCAAGCACGCTTAACTGCGGAGTTCTGGCTCTTCTTGCCTGTAGGATTCCATTAGCTATATAAACTCCTTCTTTCACTCCCCCTTTTGCATTCTTGCGGGCTAATTTCGTGAACTTAGCCACGTACTCCATCATTGTCATAGTCGTTTGCCTCAAGTCTAAAAACTCCCAAGCTTTAACTTGTCAGATAACCACCGAAAAATATTTGCCCATGAAGAGCTCACGAAACTCTCCCCATNTGCATGAAGCCCGTAGGCTTACTACAGCCCCTTCCAATCCCTGAACGTATTTGGACAGATGTGTCTGGACTTCATCGAAGGGTTGCCATCTTCTCATGGGTATTCACTCATTCTGGTAATTGTTGACCGTGTCACCAAATATGCCCATTTTGTTGCTTTGAATCATCCATTCACTGTCACCTCGGTTGCACGAGAGTTCATCTCTAATATCGTTCGTTTACACAACATCCCTAAATCTATCATGAGTGATCGTGATATGGTTTTCATCAGCTCTTTTTGGCGTGCTCTCTTCCAGCTACTGGGAACTAATCTCTGCATGAGCTCCAACTATCACCCACAAACCGACGGTCAAACGGAGGTAACTAATCGCACTATGGAGCAATATCTAAGGTGTTTTGCTGGGACCAACCGCGCAAATGGTTTGAATGGATTCCTTGGGTCGAGTACAGTTACAATACCTCAACTCATTTGTCCACTAAGATGACTCCATTCCAGGCTGTATATGAAATTCCACTGCCTAGTTTACTGTCTTACGTTCTTGGAACTTCCTAAGTCCAGGCGGTGGATGATTTTTTACGAACCCGAGATGAAATATTGAATGAGTTGCGGTTCAACCACTTACGGCCTTGTGAACGTATGAAGTGCCACGCCAATCAGCACCGGTGAGAAGTTTTGTTTGAGGTAAGTGATTATGTGTATTTGAAGCTCCAACCCTATCGCCAGAAGTTAGTGGCCTTTCGAAGTTTGTTAAAGCTCTCTCCGAGGTTCTATGGTCCTTACAAAATTATTGAACAAGTGGGTCCTGTTGCTTATCGTTTGGCTCTTCCTCTGGGTTCACAAATTCATAACGTTTTTCATGTTAGTATGCTACACAAACATTTGGGACTTGTTGCGATCGCATCTCCTCAACTTCTGCCTGTTACAGACGTTACCACCATAATTCCACAGCCTGAAGCCGGTTTGGATCGTTGCGTGGTCCATAAGGGAAAGTATCGTCCAAAAACAAAGGTTCTAGTTAAGTGGAAGGATGCTTCGATAGAAGATGTCACTTGGGAGAATGCTTGGCGTCTTCAGAAGACGTACCTTTCTTTCATCCTTGAGGACAAGGATGTTTAAGGGGAGTATTGCCATGGGCATGGTAGTTTACCAAGTGTACACAATGTGTAATGCGGCCTATGTGCTTGCCGTGTTTGCTGGTAATTAGGTTAGTGTGGGATATGATGGAATGGGTCATGGGTAGATAGATATTTAGCTGGTTGTTCCTTTTAATTAGGTCTCTAGTTGCTGATAAATAGCTTTGTGGTAGTTACGGTTTCCTATTAGTTTGCATTGTTGTTTCTTTCATTCCAAGTTGTGTAAGGCTATAAGAGATAGCCATTTCCATTCAGTAAGGAGAATAAGCAGACTTAAAGACCAACTCTTCTCTACTTCTTTTCTATCCCCTGTTTCCGAAATTCTACACATAACAATCTCCGGCCCCAACCCCAAAAAAACAGAAAGAAAAAAATTTTCTTCGTGGATAAACCAGGAAACTGTATTGCTCAATTTCAAGTTCTAGATTACATCAAAACATTAACAGAAACACACACCCAAGTGGATTCAGGATGTCATCATGTAGAACTGTAGACTACTTAACAAAACACAGAAAATAATGTCTGAAACAAGGAAAGAGAGAGAGAGAGAAGAAAAAACGTACGCCGTGTTGACGAGTGCCGGCGTTGATGCGTTCGATCCAGAGAGAACGCATGTCACGCTTCTTGTTGCGGCGGTCTCTGTAAGAGTATTGAAGAGCTTTCTCGACTCTCTCTCTCGCTATTCTTATGCAGTTCTTTGCTCTTCCCCTAAACCCCTTTGCTAGCTTCAATACCTCCTTCTTGTTCATCTTCTTCGTTCTTCTCTCTCTCTCTGTCTGCTCTGCTTTTGGGGCTTTTTCTTACTTCTGTAGTAGACTCCTGTGCGAGGTTTTGGTTGGGGTTTTCTTCATGGGTCTGGATCCTCTACGTTCAAATTTTGGTCATTTTTTACCATCTTTAATCATTTCCGTTAATTTTGTTAGATTGTTTTGGTATCAATGAAAAATACATACAAAACCGCTAGTGGGTCCTACAAGACTCAAAAAATCAAAATGTCAGCCTCCAAATCTAATTTCTGCATGAATGACGTGTTGTTGATCAAATGGTGGGGGTTGGTTTTGATGTGATATTAATATTATTACATAATATAGTTATTTAATAATAAAATTATCTCTTCATTTTTTTACATGTGATTACTTATTGATAGTTATTGTGTTATATGAAAATAGTGTTTATTAATTTATATGACATTTACTTATCTATTTGTAATACCCAAAATCTTTAAAATTTATTTATTTTTCTCTTTAATCATGCATTCTAGAAATAAATGAATAAAAATAATGTCATTCCCCAATTCTTCTCAAGAAATAACCGGACGTTGTTAAGGAATAAAAATAATATCATTATTAATACATTTTGTGTACGATTACATCCCCGAAAAAAATAAAATAAAAAAAAATAACATGATCTCTACTCAATCAGGTAAAACGTTGTCATACAACATAAAGTGAAATGATAGTAACAGTCTTTATCTGCCATCTTTCTAGCTTATTCCTTAGACATGCTTCATGTTTTTAAAAAATGTTAAATAAGGATGAGCTTACTAGCGCAGTAAGATAACATTTATCAATGACTATCAAGGTTTTAAAACAGTATATAATATATTTGAACAACAAGTAAATGTAGAAATAGGTCAAATTAAAGGAATCAAAAGAATACAACACATATCGATCATATCAATTTTTTGGTTGACACATGAACTATCTCTGGAGAAAACTTTGGAGTTTTGCATCCTAGAGAACCTGATGCCCTTCTTGCTTTTATGGGAACACTAATACCGTAAATTTTGTGGTGTCACACAGGCTATAAACGACAACTAATATTACTAACTAGTGAACCCAAAGACTAGTAGGAATCCTCGTAAGGACTACACGTCCATTAACCCTCTGTCATCAATAACGTGCATCCTTGATAATTTTATCAAAAATCATAAAATAGAGTCATATCGTATTTAGATCCAACAATATGTAGAAAATCAAACATTAAATAAATAGTCAAAAAAAACTATATGCGACTTGATTCTACAAGATAATTAGGGTTTCAATATAAAAAATATAACATGTGCATGATCACGATTTATTGATAAAATTCAAATTCAACCCCATGATTAATGTTGTAACGCCCCAAAATTCTCCTTGGACGGCATCACTATTTAAAACCATTCACATCATGAGAACAACTAATATGATCTATAAGTAAAGAGAATTCCACTCATCATTTATAATATTTATAACTTCATCCAAAAGAATAGGTTAAGCCATGACCATTTCATCCAAAAAAATATGTCTAACTATGACAATTACATCCCAAAAGAATTAAGTGGTATCTTGCAGCAGAATAACAAAATATGTTAGATTTCACATTGTCTCAAAAGAAATTTTCTAGTCTAGACATAAAAGAATATAGCTATAAATGTCCACCTCAGGATCTACGTGCCCCATCTACTAGAGCGTCCCAATGAATCAACTTCTCAACTCCGATCTCCTCCTCTACACTACAGTTTGAAAAATATATTGTTTGTAGGGGTGAACACTAAGCTCTGTAGCAACATCCTCCCAAATTCAAACAAGATTTAGAAAACATATAAAACAGTTCGATCTATTTTTCTAAAATATCATGTATACTTGAAATAAAATAGTGACAATTTATTCGATCTCAAGTTAACGCAATGAAAATAAGTTAAATGAAAGGAATAAACATGTCAAAATTAAATAAATCAATAAATTATTTAATAGCATCATCTCATATTCTCATGTATGTTGGTTGCTTCCCATGAATCTACACCATAATTCTATCTCGTTCACCCACCATAATCACAAAATCCCAAACATTTTAGGAAGGGTGTATACCGTCTCTTGTGGCATTGACGAATCCTTCCCAAGAAAGGTATAACATCCTTTAGCCTCGAACTTGCGTGAATAATAGTGGTTGCTCTCACAAAACAACAAATCACTACAAGTGTTAGGAAATTATCTCACCCCCACTGGGATAGACTAACCTCTAACACTCTACAACAGTGCTCGAATGCAATTCAAGTACATCACAACAACCATACAAGAGATGCAATAACAAACATTTTCTCAAATTACAAGAGAAATCCAAAATCTCCAAATTTCACAATTTGTATTACAAGAGAACAATTTAAGAAAATAAGCAAGAGATCATCAACAATCTATTTTTATTGTTCATTACAAAGCACTAAAGTTTTGAAATCAAGAATAAGGAAAAAATCAAGAGAAAAATTTATTTCTCTTGAAAAATAGGGTTTTATGACAAGAAAAGAGTTTTCATGGTTATCTAACCCTAACTTTGTTTAAAACATGGTAATTTTTGCAAAAATAACAAGAAATGATGATTTCAAAGCATCTATATATATAAATCAGAGTGAAAACATACATATACATATAAGTCATAGCCTTAATGGTCAAGAATGGAAGGAAACCCCTACCTTCTTCTTCCTTAGTTTGGTGTAGAGACTTGAAGCTTTGATCTTTTTCAACTTGAATCCACTCTTTAAATCTCTTGTTTTTCTCCTCATTTTTTCTGTTCTAAGCCTCTCTAGGGTTATAAGTGTTGAAATGGAGCTCAAGAAGATGTCCTTAAGTATTTATAAAAGGCCAAATGGTGCCCTGTAGGCGAATCTGAAAGCCAAAATCCGTAAGTCACGTTCGAACGTCATTTGACGTTCAAACGTCACTAGTGAAAATTAGTGATTAACATTCGAACGTCACTTGGGCTTTCGAACGTTGGCTGCTCCCAGTACTTTTGCATTTCCATCAGAGATATGCAGAGACCAAAGTACTGGGACTCATTGCCGTTCAAATGTCCATTCACGTTCGAACGTCCTCCTAGTTTCTTCTGTAACTTTCAGTGCATTTTTGACCTATTTAGAGGTTGATTTGAAAAATATTCATTAAATACACTTTTGTATCTCTAGAGGTCTACTATCGACTGTCAAAATTTCAGATCAAATAGACATAAGGATAAAAAGTTATGATCCAAATACTAGGAAGTGTCAAAAATCTTTCTTTCCCAAATTTTATCTAAAAATGTGTTTTCACTCTGGAATACTTCCAAACTTCTACAAAATACTCTATTACCTCAACTAAAATTTTATTTCTACTCATACAATATACATAGTTCATGCATACATCATTACATATATTAACATTTTCAAAAATAATCATTTTGTTATATCAAAACAAATAGAATGTGGGGGTTTACAAATGTGATATAATATTACATTGTATAATTAAAGTAGATATGATATGAAAGCCCTAAATATGCATGAGAAACATCAATGACAGTAAAAGAAAGAAAATTCTATCTCTGATGTAACCTTGACTCGATACCGTGTACTGTGACAAAACAAACAAAGTAATATTTTAGAATAAAAATAGGAAATAATAACTTATTTAAACTAAAAATAATTTTTGGAGTAACTGATGAAAAATAATGATACCTAAATTTGATCCAAAAATACAGGTGGTGATTCTTTCATTACAGATGGATTCACTAAGTGGAAGAAGAATGAAAGATTTTTGATTCATGTTGGAGGTTCGAATAGTGCTCATAATCAAAATTGGAGGAGGTGTCAAGATTTAATGAGCTAAAAGCAACATATTGAAGTTTCTTAGACTAAGCAATCAATTCAAGCTCACAAGGAATATCGAATCCATTTGACTGCAGTAGTCGATTATATTCGATATCTTGCCCCTAAGGAGTTTTCTATTACTTTGTGAAAGGAGATTACAGAATTACATAGGATAACACAAATGCTTCCTCGATTACAATGGGAGGGATTTAATCCCTGTTTATAATATACAGTTGCCTAGCAAGATTGTCTTGCGTGATCTCTACCAACGTCTTGTAATCAACGCAGTCCTTGAATCACTAGCGTGATTCCCTTGAGTTTTTTATGTCCCATGTGCAAAAATATTTGGTCATTAGAGACTATATTCCTTAGGCATGACATGACCTTATGGAAGGTGTGAGCCATTGCTGTCACCATGTGCACGAGGGTCACGTTAGTGATGATTCTTGACTTGAGAGTCTCGAGCTAAAGATCATGATCTAAAAGGTTCGAGTTGAGGTGTCCGAGTTTAAAAGGTCTAAACTTAGCCTTAGATAATTTTTGGTATCATCAGCAATAATCAAGGATCTTGGAGATGATTTGTTCTCTATTTTGATTGGTGACTCTTATGATATATCAGTCAAAGAGTGTAAACCCCGACATGTTTATCTTAGTATAGCAATGCAATTATTTTTGAAATTCTAATATATGTGATAATGTAAGCATGACCTATGTGGATTGTAAGAGTAGAAATAAAAATATTAGTTGAGGTAATAGGGCATGTTGTAGAAGTTTGAAAATATTCCGGAGTGAAAATGCATTTTAGATACAATTTGGGTAGAAAGGATTTTGGACACTACCTAGTGTTTAGATCATAACTTTTTATTCTGATGTCTATTTGATCTAAAATTTGGACAATAGACTCTAGACTTCCAGGTCTACAAACGATTATTTCAGAAAAAGTTTCCAAATTGATCTCTAAATGGGACAAAACTTCACTAGACGTTTCAACAGAAACTAGGATGACGTTCGAACGTGAATCGACGTTCGAACGACAGTGAGTCCCAGTACTTTGGTTTTTGTAGAGTTATGATGAAAATGCAAAAGTACTGGGATTAACCAGCGTTCAAATGCCAAGTGACATTCAAACGTGAATCAATAGTTTGCACTATTGAC